CCAGTTCGAATAGCAAGTGCAAGTGAAAGCATGCCAATTACGAGATTTTATTTTTTAAGGCGAATCGACTCATAATACTATTCATTCAGTGCCCCAATTATTGGAGTTGGCGATAATTATTAAAGTAGAGAAAATATCACAGGTTCGAACTGCTCATGCTAGTACGTACGGGCTCAGTTTATAGACTCCATTTGATTTGTGTTTAATCAATTAACTTTAATAGAATTCTTTAATTGAAGTTACTGCTCCGAAATATTAAAAGGGGCTTTATTTCGTTATTTACTTAAATTATTGTGTCTGTATCGTTTTCTTTCTCTGCTTAAGCTATTCAAAATCATCGCACTATCGACAGATTCATAGCCATCGATATGGCTAAGTATCGTTAGACCATGCTGCCCTTACCTTTGATCCCTTATTGGCCCACTTAGAAGCCAACCTATATTACCAAAAGACAGAATTTAAGCTAACTCAGCTCAGTGTTTCAAGTTCTACAGAATTAACCAAAATAAATCTGTAAAAAAAAATACAATGTTAACTTTCTGCATTTGATGTTAAGCGGTTGCCATTTCAGCCAATTTTGCAGAGCATTCGCTGCGTTAGCCATTTCTTTACTTTTACGATGCTTAAAAGAATTTTTAATTTCCATAAGAGTTTTATACTACACACACTCTCTCTCTCTCTCTCTCACACACACACAGAAAGGGGACAGTCAGGCTGTACTCTCAGTTGCTTCATAGCTTAATTTTTATTGCAGAGCCGAAACCCTTACACGCACACACACACTCACTCGCCTAGCTTCGTGCATGTGTTTGTGGGTGTGTGTGTGTGGCTTATGTTAATGTTTTGCCAGCTTGCGAGCAATTTTAATGAAAGTTGCTTGCCATAAATTTTAATCACATTTCTTCTTTTTTGGGTGCAAAAGATTCCACCTGCAGAGCATATGCAAATGCTCAGAGAAACAGTGAGCGTGAGCGAGAGGGGGGACGGTGGGTAAAAAGTTGATGTGTGCACACCCCCACACACACCCAAAACAAAAAAGAAAGCATAGCAATATTTAAAAGGCAGTGGCATTTAATGGTTGTTTGAATGGTTCAGCGATTCCTAAACAACAAGAACAACAATAACAGCTACTATAACAGCAGCGCGGCCCGGAAAGCGCAACAAGCGTAATAAATGTGCAGCCAAAAAGTATGCAATAAATTTCGAAACAATCAACTTTGATGCATGTAGGTGAACACGTACACAGACACATAAATGCTAAAGCATGAAAAAAGGGAGGACTTTTGCACAGTGAGGCAAAATAAAAGCGCACTGCAATCATCAACACAGCAATAGCCGCAGTAACAGCAGCAGCAGCAGCAGCAGCAGACGTCATCAGTTTTAGTTGTTTCGCGTTTTATGATTATTTATATTGGTATTTTATTTGTTACCTATTGTACTACACACGAGTAGTGGAACAATTTTTGCAGCATTTAGCACGGCTCGACATTCCCACAATTTATACAGAGATACTTGCTAGGCACAGGGCGACATGGCGACATGGCGACGGTGAAAGGGCAGAGAACAGGCGTGACTGGGGGAGGGAGAACGGCAACACGAGTCATTAAAATGATTCACTCAACTGTATTTAGGATGTGTGGGTGTGGGTGTTGATGAGGGCGTGCACCACGCCTGGTATTGTTGCATTTCCTTTCGCTGTGGTTGATTTTCCATTTCGCTGTTTGTTTTTTTATGCGTTTTTCGGCAACGTGGCAAGGGGCAAGGCATGTAGCACATTTTCATTAGTTGGCGAACAACAATGCAGGCAACAAACATTCATCTAGCCAAATAAAAGTGAAAAATCTGGAGCTATGAATACTTTATTTGCACTAGAAACATTCCAAAATTTTGCACTATTTACAGTTTATAAAAAATACTAAATATGGAAGAGGAAAAGCACATATGTTTGTAGATGACATTTAAAATCGTGAAACTATTTGTCAAATGAAATCAGCACTGAATTCTGGATATTATTCAAATGCGTAATGAACTATTTTATAAGAAAAAGACTAATTATAATTATTAATGGCATATGGGATGTACTTTCAGTCGGTACTCCAATTCTAGTTTCCATCCAACAGTTTAGATTTATTGGGTATTCAGAGTATGCTCTATCTATTTTTTCTCTCTTTCTCTTTCTCTCTCTCTCTCTCTACTTAATAATTACTACATACCAAAACGGATTTTTGGTATCGCTCATGCTGAATTATTTACATTCTAGCATTTCTCCAATCCCTTCTATACCAACGAACCATATAAACACATAGTATATTGTCCATATATATAAAATCCATACGGATAACTGTCCTACCTGGGCTTGACCAATAGCCGTGCTGATATTTCACACACACACCCACAACCACACGGCTACTTTCACTCTCTTCGCACTGTAAAACAAAATTATGAAACGGAGTCTTGACAAAGGGCAATATCTTACTCGCTCTCTCGGCACTCTATATAATAGCGTTATATTCTTTCACACTCGCACACCAATACACTCGTTCAATTCACTCTTCTCAATGCAGCATACGATCTCGCTCACTCTCTCGATAGTCGTTGTTAGGCTGCATCATGATTGAGTGTGTTGAAGTTAGTGGTGATAGTGTCTCTTAACAAGGGTGCTGCAAGCAACAGATACTTAAGCAATCGCTCGATCTCGCTCGCACTCTCATACGTCGCTGTCTGTTAGTGCTGCATATTCTGCCATGCAATCGTCCTTCAAACAGTTATAGTTTACAGTGTAAATTAATGAAAAAAAAATTAGGCAATGTTCACCGCTAACTAATGAGTATATCTAAACATGATTATTTAATATAATATAATTTAAGAAAATAAATTATATATAACACTGACTGCGCACTCTCGGGGGCATTAAAATCAATCAGGTAATATTATTTAGGGCAGAATATTTCCAAAAGTTAAGCTTGCGTTAAATAACGCTTGAATGATTTATGTACTTATTTATATATGTGTGAATTTTGGTTTATATAATGAAAAATATATGGATATTTTGCATTGTTTTTTCTTTTTATGTTAAACAACTTTCATTAAGCCAAAAGGTTAAATATGAGCCAATAATAAGATATTGACACTTACCTCGACACTTCCTTTGATGGGTTAAAGGAGATTTATTTAATGGCTTCGCCAGTGGACGCTAGGGTATCCTCTCTTCGGCCAATGCCACTCAGAGCACCTTCGCATAAAGAGTATGAAAAACTGTAATTAAAAAAAGAAGAAGAGAGTGCTATAAAATCTGGTCGCACCACACGAAGCAATGCGACAATTTTAATCGCACAAAAATTCGCTCTATAAATAATGAAACGATTAAAATCTGCGAATATTTCACACACAAATAAAATATTTGATATACATGCATGTGGATATATGGCTATGTGGAAATGTGGAAGTGGGTTCAAATGAATTGTTTTCATATATCATGCATATTTCATGCTCGCATTTCGCATAAATATCTCTCAAATTGACTCGCAAATAAATTCGTATTGGAAAATAACAGAAGCTAAGACGGGAGATTAATCGGTGGCCGAGGCCAACACGCAAATTGAAACGCGATATTAGCTCAACAAAGTCATTTTGTGGAGAGTAGATCATTTGAATACATCAAATTGATATTTTCGATTCAGAAGCCAAGCACTTACCTTCTGCATTTATGCATGACAAACTGTTGAGCAGGAGTTTTATTCAATGTGTCTCGGAATTAGCTTGTTTGGCGTGCGTATTTCGCCCTGTTTATTGGTCATATAAATATAATGCGAGGGTCTTCCCGCACCGAGTTTATGGGGCTTTATATGTGTCATTCGCATTAGCTTAATATGCCGGAAAAGTGCGCTCGATATTTAATAGACCCCCCATGGCAGATTGCACTGTCATAACTTTTATGCGGCCTTTAAAATCATATACATATAAAAAAAATTGTGTTAATTTTCATGTGTTGTTGCCTGTCCCTGTTCCTGCCCACTCTCCTTCCTCTTTTCCCATAAAAAGGTAAATTTTGGCCATTTTATGGCTACAATAAGTATCATGTGGGTTCGCCCATTAAAATAAAGGAAAGTGAATGCCTGCACTTTGACTTTCAAATTTATATGATAAATCTAATATCTAAGCACTTCTTACACATGCCTTCCCTTTAGGCTATAAATCATTAATGCTTTTTGCTTACCTTCCAAATTTGCCTATATATATAAAATTACTTATAGAAGTTATACTGAAATGATGAGTGAGCCGGAATTTATGGCTTGGGTACACTAAAAACATTCATCAATTCTTATCGCCCCAAAGATTTTCAACTTGGATTGCTGCAATTGTTCTTGTTTTCGATTTTTTGGCATAGCAATCTCTCAACAGGACCATCTTCTGAAACAGCATCAATGCCAGCCATTTCTACTTCAAATAACTATTTCAAATAACTATATACATCTATTGAGTTTTTGTATGTACCATGAAATGATAATATTAATAGTTTTAATTAGTATCAATTAAAAGCTGGAATGTTTTTAGAAAGTATTTTTAGACATTGTATTGTAAACAAAATTATTAAGTACTCGAATAATATTTATAAATAATTTTTTGTAATTTGTGTAGAATTCTAAATTTGAAAGATGTATGGAGGTCAATCTGTTCGTCTTTTCCGTAACAGTATTACCCTCTCCTCTGCACTTTTCCGCGAGAGTACTCTAGAGACTGATGCGATTATTTTTTGGAAGAATCAATTATAGTTTCAATTCATCGCTGCCCGTTTCCGATACAATTAAATCGCCAATAGAAGCAGAATTATCGATTATTGTGTTATCACTACTTGCTTTACATTTAGCCTAACTCGTTCTCAAACGAGATCCATCTGGAATTCCAACTTTATTGTGGAATGCCTTTAACAAAGGTCTATTCAATGAAAAATTAATTTGGCCAAAAGCAAAAACTTAAAAAAATATATATATTATTTTTATTGATCCTTAGAAGCAACTAAAAGTAAGTTAAAAGTAAATTTAATTAATTAGGGAGCCCTTTAGTGGCATCCGCACTCCTTGGCGACCGTCTTTTGATACTTGGTCAAGTCTATAATGTCCTCGTTGATGTATCGGAGGATGGTGATGGCGCCCAGAGCAGTGGGCACGCAGCAGGGCTTGGGCAGATGCGGCTGCTTGAGGTGCATCAGAGTCTGGACAATCGCGTGATTCGTGGCATTCATTTTTGTGCCCAGCGGAAAATTGCAGCCGCCGCCGCAGAAGTACGCCTCGAACTTTTTGGGCGCAATGACCCAGTTGTGCATTTGGAGTTCCTTGAAGTCCACCGTGAAATTGAGACGCTCGCAGGACTGTGGCGGCTTGTAGAGGTCTGCCGGCGGGGGTGGGCGTGGCTGGGATGCCTTCCGCTTCTGCAGATCCCGCTTGAAGCGCAGCTTTTGCACTTTCACCAGCAGCTCGGGTCCTTTGAAGTAGCCCACAATGAAGGGCTGCAGATTGGACTGGATGTCCTGCGGAGCTACCAGACCCGCATGCCAAGCAGTGAGCGGCGCCTCCTCCCCCAGCGAGATGCGCAGCTCGTGGCGCTCCGGACTCCTGCTGAGCAGCCAGGTACGCAGCGTCCGCGTCAGATTGAACTCCAGCCAGCCCTTGTAGTGGGCCGTGGTATTCACAGAGCTGAGAATGCGATAGACAGGAGGCGCTTCTATGCCCTGCTGATGACTGTGAATCGTCCTGTAAACGGAGACAGTCAGATTCTGGCGCTTCTCCAGCACGCTGGGCTGCTTGTAGATGCGCAGCGTGGCCTGCATCAGCATTAGGTCTACGGGCACATCGTTCGTGTTGAATGTGATGTGCATGTCCAGCTGGTCCTGCTCAGAGGAGCTGGACTGGGCACGGCTGGAGAAGGTCAGTATGCTGTTGCAGCTGGCCATTTCCTTGCGATCCTCGCGAGTGAGCAGGATGTCATCGTCCAGCGAGCGTTTGTGTCGCTGCTGCAGCACCTCCTGCGGCTCCTGCTCCTCACTGATCTCATTGTAAGCTTCCAGCAGAAACTTTGAGGCAGAGTTGTGGAGCTCGGTGGGCTGGGCCATACGTCTTGGTCTGTCACCCAAATCCAGCAAATCAATCATCTCAAGCTGCTCGGCAAGCGCAGGCTGCACAGAACTATCAACCGTTACGTAGCTAGTGGTCAGGGCGACTCTGCGAGAGCAGCAGAGCAATAAGAGCAGCAGTAATCGAATCATTGTTCTTCTTGAGTGGACAATAAGCAACTGAGCCATTTTCAGGTCAAGGTGCATATTATATACCCGTGTAGCCAGGTAGCTGGGAATATCATTCCAGTTAGGTAGTGCAGAACCTAAGCCTTTACCCTGCCTTAGGGAAAGGGATGGAGAATAATCTTTGCCTTTTTCCTAGTCCTAGTTATGCTATGCTCAACGTAATCTAATCTTTTCCCTCCCTCTCTCTCTTTTTCAGGTGTATTGCAAATCAACAACAGCAGCGAGGAGGATCAGGGCAAATACGAGTGCGTGGCAGAGAACTCAATTGGCACGGAGCACTCGAAAGCAACCAATTTGTATGTGAAGGTTCGTCGCGTCCCACCCACGTTCTCCCGCCCGCCAGAGCACATAAGCGAGGTGATGCTGGGATCCAATCTGAATCTGTCGTGCGTAGCTGTCGGGTCACCCATGCCGCACGTTAAGTGGATGAAGGGTAATAATTAATCAAATGAAAACGAAACGAAGCTAATCTAATCTCTCTCCCTCTATCATATGCAGGCGCACAAGATCTGACACCGGAGAACGATATACCCATAGGTCGGAATGTTTTACAGTTAACTAACATACAGGAGAGCGCGAACTTCACCTGCATAGCTGCCTCCTCGCTGGGCCAGATCGATGCGGTATCCATGGTCAAAGTGCAATGTAAGTAGAAGTCGAAAACTATAGATTAATATACAAACAAAAATATGACTGACTTCAAATACCCTGTAAGGCAGCATTCAGCTCAAACTATAAAACATTTCCTTATAGATAAGTTTTGTAATTAAGAATAGAGTTTTAAGGACCATTTATAGTTTATAATTACTATCATTCATACTCTAAATACTAACTGTATCTTCTCTCTGTCTCTCCCTTTGTGCAGCACTGCCAACGGCGCCGACGGATGTGCAAATCTCCGAAGTGACCGCAACGTCGGTGCGTCTGGAGTGGTCGTACAAGGGACCCGAGGATCTGCAGTATTATGTCATTCAGTACAAGCCGAAGAATGCGAATCAGGCCTTCAGCGAGATCAGCGGCATTATAACCATGTACTATGTGGTGCGCGCCCTGAGTCCTTATACGGAGTACGAGTTCTATGTGATAGCTGTTAACAACATTGGGCGTGGCCCGCCCTCGGCGCCAGCGACTTGCACCACGGGTGAGACAAGTAAGTATCCCCGCCCGTAACCGCAATTGTAACATTACAAAAGATAAACCTACTAACTGTTTTTCTATATCTTCTTCTGTCTACTTCATACGAACGCTGCCAGGATTTTTCAGCAATTCTCAACAATCTGAGTTTGCTTCTTTTTTATCGTGTTGCGTTTTTAAATTTTGTTTATTTTTTCGCAAATTTTTATGTAAAGTGCAGTACTTACCCGTTTCCCATTATGTCTTTTCTCTTTTACATTTTCTTCTCCTTTCGCTCTCTGCATCACAGGCGATTTCTCATTCGGTGGCACAAGTAAGTATCCTTAGCATTTGCTTCTTCTTCTTCTATGCCAACAAAATTTTACGGCAAAAACAATTTCAATAACAATTCTTGAGAGGCATTCACATGACATTAGCCCCCTGTAGCACCGAGCCCCCTCCATCCCCCCTTTCTGAGCCTCTGCTCCACGAGCGCTCACCTCTTCCATTCGCTTGAAATCAAAGGTAACTGCAATGTTTAAAAATGAAAGCCCGTTGCATACGCAACTGCTCAATCTCACACACACACGCCCACTTGCTCGTCTGATGTATGTGTGTGTGTGTGTGTGTGTGCTAAGAGGCAGCTGGCTCACGTCGTCTAGTGCCCGCCACCATTCGAAATGTGGTTGGCAACGCATAAACTTTGCATTGTTATGCGTTCATATGAATGCGCATCAATGTCGTTTCTCTGCTTGCAAGTGCCTTGCATATGTATGCGTGTGTGCTCGTATCTATGCATGTGTCTGGATGTGTGTATGGCGCGATTTAGCCACGGCAATTGCGCGTAAGCAACCCATGCTTACAACTGCGTTCCGCTTGCTGCGCGCCGCCCATCTCTCCACTCTTGCTGCTGCTCTTCTTCTAGCCTGTCTCACAATTTTTTAGGAGTTTGTTGTAGCTCGTCGTATAAAAGTTGAAAACTTTTATTGCCCCAATTATGCTTATCGCTTGCCCAATATCGTTTCGAAATATTATTTCGATGGTGCCGTTTACAGCCAGACCTCAAGGAAAGGAATAGAAAACGCAGAAAAACTAGCAAAAAATTTGCTTGAGAATTCAGCAGCAGGTCGCACGCATTAGATATTGACACGTGTCAGTGGCGCTTAGGTAGCAGCTGAGATGGTCGATTTACGGTCTGCAAGTGCAACAATCGAGTGCCATAAACACCAGACAGCTTAAACAGTCACGATGGAAACTACCTGAGTCGTATCTATACTGGATTACTGCTATATAGTATAGCTATAGCTGTACAACTAACTCATGGGTGGTTGCTGACTTATTCATAGTCACACATTATCCACACTATTCTCTATTCTCCATGAAGCACGATTAAATCAAAAATCATTAATGGATGCTGTCGGTAACCATATTATATTGCAGCGACCAATCAGCTATAGCCGCTCTGTGAATAACTTTTTTCTGTGAGCCCATTAAACGGTGACTCTCTCAATCACACATTCTTTTCACTCTTTTAGTGCAGTATGTGTATTTATGCACATACATATACATCATAATGATAATGCATAGGACTGTAGCTAATCTGCTCATAACAGTGCGCCATAAGTGCGAATGAAATAGCTGTATATGATTGTTGGTGATCTGCTAATTGTCATCTGCACTATTCACTCTACATCATAATTGGACGCTTAACATGAATGTATTTGTCTGTAGCTGACCTGCTCACTATTATCTGTACTCTTGTCTTTACCTTGTCCTTGTCTTGTCTTCTCCTTGCACAATTTCGTTCACTATTTGTGCTCTGTTAATAACATTGTTGTACACTTACACATTCAAATATTGTTTTTGCTTTTGCATTTCAGCACAGATCGATAAATGGTAAACGTCGGCCCATCTTCGCCCATTAAATATATATTCATGTAACTTTGGCTCTTGCATTTCAAGCTGCCCCAAATCATTATCCACTTCCGCTTGGTCGTATTGTCATCTATTTTGGTTAATATTGCACAGATTCTCATCAGTAATTTATGCTTTTCATTAATTCTCAACTGAGGCTTTGCCTTACTGCAGCATATCAGAAACTTGACGATTTTCACGCTAGCCGGAAAGCTGAAAGCTGTTGCTGCCTCAATTTGCATCAATTATAAATATACATGCAGCAGGTACTCAAGGACTTCATCTTTCTCTCTCTCTCTCTCTCTAATCCTTTGATCGATTGTCTGCATTCAAGCTTTTGAAGTGGCTGATGCCTTGTATTGCAATTTGGCTATAATGTATACAACTAATATGGTCTAATACATTTAAGTTTAATGCTCACACACACACGTGCACACATGCACCCAGAAGTGTGTTGGCAACTCTTTAACAGCTCCTTTCGTCATATAATAGGTCATGGGGCTTGCTTCCGATATCTTTGCATGAGTGACTGTGTGTATACGGGTGTGTGTGTGTGTGTGAGTGTGGGTGGCTGCTAAGAATTTAGTGCTGCGTGCTCCAAGCATGGAGCAGTAGGCGTGAGCAGGCATGCAAGGGATACATATTAATGGAGCGTATCCGTATGTAATGTATATGCTCTTAAATGCAGCTTACGTGACGCTCCCACACACATGGAGCAGAAGGAGTGAGGATAACTGCCAGGGTAGCGAGGAAGCATCCAGGCAGCCAGAAGGTGGCGGAGGCGAAGCTATTGCAATTTTTGAGTGCCCCATGTGCTGTGCATGCAAATCTTAGCCTAGACCCGGCAAATGGCAATGGCAGCTCGTTCTATCTATAGCAATCGCACACACACACACACTTGTGTAACAGATGAGATGGCAGCGATATAAATTGTGGCAAAACGCTGCAGTGGCACCCCATGTACAAGATATTGCAGTAAAATTGTGAGAATTGGAATTTATTGATTGGCCATTAACCAATTGAGGAGCACAAGAAAAGGAAATGTTACAGCACACACACACACACCCGCTCACTATCCAACATGGAGCAGCAATTGAGGCTGTTGCCCACTAATTAGTGGGGCCTGGCTTTAGCTGCTGTTCCCTCTACCTATCTCCAATGCCAACCACAACTTCTGCTGCTATTTCAGTTGTTCGCCAATTTCACGCCTCGCAAATACATTCCGAACATGTGCCAATGTGGCTACGGACCCAGTATACCCATCAAACAGTTGAAATGCATTTCAAGTAACCCTAACTGAAATCAATTATAACAATCTGAAATCTAGCGGATAATTCGCATTATAAATAAACTAAGTAAACGCCGTATTGGATTAGTAACAATATCCGCTTCTAATCCCTACAAAGCAAAATACCAGCTTTCCAGTCGTATTTTTCCACCGACTTTTGGTAAATTTTTAACCTGAACCGCTAGCAAATTCGTGCCTTATTAAGTATGCAACAAAAATACATTCAGAATTATATTTCTATTCGTTAGCCCGATATTGATAGTCTGATAGATTGATATATTAACACAGTAGAATCCGGTTATACCGACTCCGCTTATATTGTCCGTAAATTTACTGGGACACGAATTTTGGTCGCCAGTCAAACTTATATGAACAAACTTATCTGGTTATAGCATCTTTCTGGTATTGCTACGATCCCGATCTGAAAGTATGTAGCAATAATCGAATTGTGCTCTATATTTAAATTTTTTTTTTTTATTTTATTTTTTTTTTTTTTTATTTAATTTTAAACAGTTGGCTGTTGGCTGTAATACCATTTTCTACATAGGATTCAACATGTATTTTTTTAATTATTTACCTTGTTTACGTGTACGAATTCTTACTTTTAAACAGAATATTGCAAACTTAAAATACAACATTTATTATTTATTTGTTATTGATTTAGTTATAATTTACTTATAAACTTTTTTACTAGGTTTAGGTATCGGTGAATTGTGTTGTCCTAGATTAGCATTATTATTACCGGTTATGCAGGTTCATCATCACAAAAGAATAAAAGCCCAGGGCAACCGTCTGACATATAATAGGGCAATAGACAGTTTTTATAATTTCAACTGATTCTAGCTGCAGTTAGGCATTGTATTTCGTACCTCGAAAATTAGTTAATGTGTATTTGTCTGTGTGGGTGTGTGTATTAAATGTTGACCTATGCGTGTTTTTGCAGCATTGCGTTGCACATTATAAATGCCAAATTCGCACTATAATGCGCCGAGGCAGTGCAGTGCAAAAATATGTTTACTACGAGGAGTCCGGCAGACGGACGTGCATTTAGTAGAACTTCATTGCCAGCGATTGTGATGGATGATTGTTTGCATTGTGAAACATTTGTGTGGAACGTTGAATAGACCTAGCATTCCCTTTCTTTTTTCTCTCTCTCTCTCTCTCTCTCTCTCTCTCTCTCTCTCTCTTCCATTATCTGCTGCTACAGCCATGTTGTTGCCTATTTTCGACCTGGCCCTGCATTCGATTTTAAATCCTGCTGCAAATGCCAAAAATTTCATTTAGCAGAAACGCATCAATCTGACTGACTGTCTGTCTGTCTGTCTGCATTTCCGTAGTTGTATTTAAACTGCATTTCTGCTTGATTAAAAACTATTCGAAAAGTGAATTACTTTAGTTAACATGTCAATCTGATGCAGTACCGCTTAATTATCATGGAATATTCATTTTGAATGAACATGAATTAAGTTGATATTTAGTGGGATTGTCTTTAGATTGTAGACAACTTTCTTGATGGTCTCTCCCTGCTTCTCTCTCCCTCTCTCTCTCTCTCTCTTGCATTTTCAGAATGTAGATGATGAACTTGCTCGCTTTTGTTTTTAAATGTGTATACAATGATAATAATCCCTTTTATCTCACTCGGATTCACACTCTCTTTCTCTCTGTCTCTATCTCTTTTCAGAAATGGAAAGTGCGCCACGTAATGTGCAAGTGCGGCCGTTGAGCTCCTCAACGATGGTTATTACTTGGGAGCCACCAGAGACGCCCAATGGACAAGTGACCGTAAGTACCTGGCATTGAGTACGCATATTAAACAAGAGAACGAACACAGAGTCCGGCCAAAGCTGCACGGCAGACCAAGTTAGGGGTCGACACTTTGTCACGTCGAATGGCCAGGGATCCCGGGGCGGCGGGGAAACGGCACGAAATGACGTTAGCCATGTTTGGCATTAAAACGCAGACGGATAAGAGCAGACAAACAGGCGGCGGAGCAAGGGGCGCAAGACAAGCGGTTAAATGCAAATGTGCGAATGAAATCAAAGCCACATAGTTAGCCAGTTAGCCGGCAGTTGGCTTGCAGCTTGTAGCTTGTAGTTTGCGTGCCCCAAGTCAGATCCTGGCTGCCACCTCCTCGCCTTAACTGGCTGTACTTTGATCGAGTCAAGTGCTAGGCCGCAATTGTTGTGGTCGGTCTCCATCGCCTCCGCTGCTGGTGCTGCATGGCTCGTGGCACGTCGTGCTGCAGCTGCAAACACTGCTCTCGCCACAAGGCCAACATTATAAAGTACGCAAATCTTAGACCACAAGCCATATTTCATTCGAGCCAGCAATTTTTGGTCAGCAAAAGGTTTCAAGAGATGCGACTTTTAATTGAGCGAAAGAGGTTTTAGAGAACAGTAAACTTGTGGCGAAGTAAGAATTTTCTTAAGTTTCATCAGATTGTCCTTCTAATCGAGGAACTTTATAAGCTTATGCTCTTATAATATTAATATTAATAATCCTCTTTGAATCTCTCTCTCTCTTCCTAAAATCTCTATAGGGCTACAAGGTGTACTATACGACCAACCCGAATCAGCCGGAAGCCTCCTGGAACTCCCAAATGATTGACAATAGCGAATTGACAACAGTGTCGGAATTAACGCCCCATGCCATCTACACAGTCCGTGTGCAGGCGTACACCTCAATGGGAGCCGGTCCTATGTCCACCCCGGTGCAGGTGAAGACACAGCAAGGTGAGTGCCAACAGCCCACGGCCTACGCTCTACATCCACTGATATGCGGATGGGAAAATCGTATGCAATTAATTGCGATGTACGCAATTAATTTGACTGCTTAAATCAACCTGGATAGATATAGATTACATCAATTATTTAATTAGGACTCGAAATGTTCAGCTCAATTCAGATAATTAATAATTTCTGACAGTCTGGCAACGCTGAGAGCATTATCTAGGCACTGCCTTCCACTTGCTTGTTTTGCATTGTTTAATTGGCTATCGAGTGTCATGATTTGATAGTTAACAGATATTATTTGCTGTCAATATGGTCTGCTTTTCTCTCAACTCGAACTTAATTTAGAGAAAACATGACTTTATTTAATTTGACAGATAAGTGTTATTTAATAGAGCTTTCTCGATTTTGGTTTTGTCATGGATTCAATTAGTTAATTCGCTTGTGTGGCAGGTCAAGTCCCGGACTATTTATTATTTGAAGCAGATTTTTAACCATCTGGCAACGCTTGTCATAAAGTCTTGCTTATTCTGCATGGCAGGCTGCTTTAAATTTAAAATATTTGCAGACTCTGGCGACTCTGAAACAGCAGAATTTTCTTTCTTTTAGCTGAATGCCAAGTTGATTCCGGATCAAATCCATTTATAACATTTACCATCTACTTACATGGTGTGCTTCTGCCTGTGTATACGTGCGTGCGCGTGCGTGTGTATGTGTGTGTGTGTGTGTTATGCTTGTGCATTCTGGTGTGCAGCAAATATTCATTAAATTTGACTGCTGAAGCAATTGCATTTGCCATACTTTAATATGCAGCTTTGTGGCTTCCGAGGTCTTCGACTGGCAGCCAGAGAGCAATGCCAGAACGACACACCGTGTGCTAGGGGGCGTGGCAGTCTAACAGTGTGACTCTGAATTTGTTGCATTGGCAGTTGTGTTGCCTAATGCGCTTAGCTACGTTTTGGGCCAACCTCTCTGACCGTAAGCCCTTCCTACGACTCCAAGTGAGTCAATTTACGCAACGTACATAGATTCCTTTATGTATCAGATAAAAGATTGCGAAAATAAGATGAATTGAAAACTTTTGAATTTCTTATAATGTTGTTAGATCGGATTACTTGGCATTTCATTGATTATATTGGGTAAAATATTTAAATATAATTTCTAGCTATAATAAATGAATTTCATATAATGTTGTTAGATCGGATTACTTGGCATTTCATTGATTATATTCGGTAAAATATTTAAATATAATTTCTAGTTATAATCTGCGCTTTAGTTTCTGTTTGTCTCATTCCAAGCTGAAAAACTAAAAGACTCTAGTCTGAAGTTATATGCCACCAGGATTCAGTTAAGTAATCATAAATTGGAGATAGAATAAACTGTTACCGTTTACGCATCATTCACAATTGAAATGTGGGGTGTCACATGAAATTGTATTACTTTATTAGATATATGTGAATATATAATGGGGACAGGCCTTCGTTTTCGGCCATGGCCAGGCACGCTTGCATTTCAATATTTGTCTGTAGCAAATAATTCAATCAATTTCGCAGGCTTCAGGTGCGCTCATGTTCATGTGGCTGGCCAGCTGGTTTACATGTCTGTCGAGTGTATCTGAATCATAATATCTGAATGGGCGCATGTTCTCGTATATACATATATAAATAAATGCCGCATTGATTTGTTTGTGTATTTTATTTAATTTCCGTAATTTCCGTTTCATTATTACCGAACCAACCGTAACCGAAAACCGAAAACCAAATATGTGCCTACGTGAATGCATAACACATATATATATACAATTTGATACATCTATGCGTGTATGTATTTGTATGTAATGTATATGTATGCCTCTGTGTGCAGGTGTGCCATCACAACCGAGCAATTTCCGGGCCACTGATATCGGCGAGACCGCAGTCACATTGCAGTGGTCCAAGCCGACTCATTCCAGCGAGAACATTGTGCACTACGAGCTCTACTGGAATGACACATACGCCAATCAGGATCATCACAAGTGAGTTACATACATATGTATATGAATGTACATATTTATTAGGGTATCAGATATGCATAACCGAGCTCTACTCCTGCAGGCGCATTTCGAGCTCCGAGTCTTACACGCTTGATGGTTTGTATCCCGATACCCTCTACTACATCTGGCTGGCGGCACGTTCGCAGCGCGGCGAGGGCGCAACAACCCCTCCCATTCCCGTTCGCACCAAGCAATATGGTAAGTGGCTGAGAATCTTTGATCCTAAGTTAAGTAAACGGATATCCGCTAAACAAACAGAAACAGAAATAAAACTCAACTAAGCCGTAGTACGAGTTTCTCTAGCTTAAGTACAAATACAAAAATACAATATTCAAAAACTCTAAACATAAATTTCGTTCCATTTAACTATAAATATATACAATATACATTAATATATAACTACTTACATACATATATGTCATACTCGACGCCTATAAATGTAGTTGATTATTCAGTTCAAATAACTGTTTATTGATAAAGTATGTGTGCGAGCGTGAGTGTGTGTGTGTGTGTGTGTGTGTGCGTATTTCCACGGTGTGTTATGGCATTCGCAAGGATACAGGTAACAATAAAGTATGTGTGGGCGTGTAAGAGTGTGTGTGTGTGAGGTATGTTCTGACTTGCACTTTTCTACCTTAATAAGATATATATTGTATGATATATGATTGTTTCTAGTTAACTGCAAGTTTATCTAATATCAATTACCTAATACTTATAGTTCAGTTTATATACATTATATATAATTTATACATCTATACATATATATACACACTAGACTACTCCTAAATACATTTACATCCAAGTTATCCTAGCTTATCTAATACATATAACATACATACAACAAGTTAGTTAGGCATACCAACACCTACATATGTTTAAGCCCACGTCTATTTTGATATCGAGCTGGCAAAGGCGGGGCTTATAACAGTAAATAAGGCTTCATCAATAGAACGGGGAATGATGTAATCATTTACAGACATTGGCATCGCGCGTAAAATTATCGTTTCTTTTTTCTTTCATTGATTCTTTGCTTTGTAACTTTATATTTGATTTGACGAAATTACTTTTGTTTTATTTATTTATTAAATTTATGTTTAATGCTTGTGTTTTAGTAAATTCGAGTCTGAGCCAAAACAATTATAAATTCCTTTTAAAGACTCTGCGCTCTATTGATGAGGCATAACTTCAAAAACGAAAACCTCACACGTTAGCCAACACTGTAAACAACACCACATCACAAACTGCAGTACAAAAAAACTATACAAAAACGAAGAGTTAATTTAATTGTAAGATTATTTTGATTGCAAATGATATTTATGCTCGAAAAACAAAGAGATACATATATATGTATATATATGTATGTATATTTAAGTTTATTTAGAGAATGTGTATGTAATTTTATTTCAAGTCTTGATTTATGCAAATTATGGTTAAAAGTATCTGCAACTCTTGCCTAGCCTTCGCATGTCTAAATTTGAATGCAACTGCACAAAAAGCCACAAACCAAAATTTCGAGACAATAAACTCTGTCGCTCTCTTCTAATTTGCACTCCCTTTCACTCTCACTCACTTCCACTCACTCACTCTGTCTCTCTCTCACTCACTACCTCTTGCAATTGTAGCTCGTAATTGATTTTGAAATACGCTTTAATAGAGTAACACTCCAAGACAAATGTTTATTGGAGCTTGAGTGCAGCTAAATATGTCTCTATGCACATACAATATATTATATTAGTTATATATATAAATATAGCATATATTTGTGTGTGTGTGTGTCTATTCTATATTTGTGTTGCATCACTTTTGGTTTTCATATTTGCACGTTTTGCATACTTCTAGCTTGATTTGGCGCATAATTAAAGTTTAAGTGGTTCCAGTGGTTCTCTGGCTTAACAATTGTTTTGTGGCTGTCCAACAGGCAGAGCTATAGAGAGAGAGAGAGAGAGAGAGAGAGGGGGAAAGAGAGAGCGAGAAAGAATCAACCAAACGAGATACGAGTTTGGCATGCGGATTACTACTTAGTGGTGCACATTGACTTATTCCTTGCAGTTCGTCATGCACGTTATTTGAAATGGGTTTGCAATTTGGGTTTTTGCTATATATCAATTAGTCGTAGTGATTGCGTTTCAATTAAGCATAACTCTATTATTGCCATACAAGCTTGAACAATGTTAGTGCACTTGAGATAGCACCGAGAATATGCTGAATATATATGTACATATATACGTATATATTTATATTTAAATAAATGTTAGTTTCTAGCTTCATGTTCTGGCTATTAGTTTCATGTTTTATGTAAGAAATAAAAACAAATTAAAAACCCACAGCCACATGGTTTATGCAAATTTAATGTTCATAGTAAATGTGTGCGTGTGTGCGTGCGTCTATGTGTGTGACCTGTTCAATTAGTTTAAGCTAGCTTTAAATATTTGCATCAAGCTATATAAATTATATACAATATTTGTAGCGCTCGTTTAGTGCACGCTTTTGCAACTTTAAATTCCATCTATATTATTTACCAATCATATACTATCTAATTTTTCTCAGTGTGTAGCTAGTTTTTAAGCTCAAAATCGTTACCAAAAAATATGCACAATTTAATTTAAGCGAGAAGAAAAACTTCCAAAAAATAAAAGAGAAGAAACGCCACATTATTTGCATAAACCATTGGATCGATCAAAAAGAATTTTTATGTCTTGTATTTGAGTTTCGAGCTTATGATTTTCATATAACACCTAACTTATATGCCAACTTATATATACTTATGCCTATTATCCATTATGTCATTTATTCAAACATTATTTTGGTGCTGTTTTTCGTTACATGTTTTTGGTTTGAAAACTATTTTCGTTTTGGTTTAAACGCTAATCGCTGAACGCTATGAAACATATCTCTCTCTGGCTAAAACGCAACCGTATTTTCAATGCACAAAAAAAAAAAAACAACAACCACACGTTCCCATCTATATTGTGTAATTAGTACCAGGTGCTCCGCCACGCAATATTACGGCGATTGCGAACAGCTCGACAACGATCGCGCTGAGCTGGCTGCCTCCGCCCGCGGAGCGCTCCAACGGCCGGATCATATACTATAAGGTGCTGTTCGTCGAGGTGGGCCGGGCGGACGACGAGGCGTCCACTCTGACCCTGAACATGACCGAGATTGTGCTCGACGAGCTCAAGCGCTGGACCGAATACAAGATCTGGGTGCTAGCCGGCACCTCTGTAGGCGATGGTCCGCGCTCCCATCCGATCATAACGCGCACCCTAGAGGATGGTATGTATGCCAATGACAATCTTACCTATGCGTAAGTCTCTCTAACTCTCTCTCTCTCTTTGTTCACATTTATCATTTATCAGTTTCTCATGTACACTTATTTTTCATCATCATATTTTACATTTAGTTTAATATTTTTAGTTTATTTATATCAAACATTATCAAACCTAACTAATTAATCAAAAAATGAACAAATTCTTATACGATTTTTGAATTTTGATATCGAGCATCCCCAACGCAGGAGCTGCCGGAAACGCCGCAATGGAGCGTTTTGTTTTTGATTTTCTTTTTGATCAGCAAAATAAAACCCAAAATATAACCATATTTGTATGCGTATGTGTATGTGTGTGTGATTTAGCTATGCGACTGGTAATAAATGCCAATGCCACATACACATGCCATACTCATATATCTAATATCATATATGTGTTAAATACAAGCTGCAAACATTAATCTATTTTTGAACGCAGCTATATTTCATATTCCCCTTTTCTTTGTAGACTCTATATTTTATTCATAGTTGTTTCCAACTCAGTTTTTAATATATTTATGTCCTGATCATGACAATATTATTATATTTCTCATCTCCTTTTAAAGTTCCTCCCAACATTTTCCAAATTTTCAGCTAATATTCTTACGAATACTTCAAAAATATACTTACTTTAACCCCTAAAAAGTTTATGTTTTCCCTTTTTTTATTTTTCTAAACTGGATATCCAAAACCCCTAAAATTCCAAACCATTTCCTTAGAAGAAATTTTATTTCAACTACATGTTTTTCTACACATTTTCTACCTAAAAATTTTTTAATCAACAAATACAATTCTTTTCATACTTTACAGAAATAAAGGAAGTAGTTTGTTTTTTTTTTTTTTTTTTTTTTTTTTTAATGTCTTTTGTTTGATCAGTTCCTAATCAGTTATTCCCTCTTATTATTATTATAATCTGAATTTTTGATTTGAAACCCATTTAGTATTGTTTTCGTTTTTCAATTATTTTTGCTTACAAATTGAGAATATCGAAAATTTCACATTTTTATTGGTACTATAAAATTGCATATTTTTTGGCGCAATTTTTGACAACTTTTTTGCACTTGTATCTCTATCAAATAAAAATGCAATCGAAACTCTTTTTTAGCACAACTCCTATATTGTGTACTATATGCAAGAACGAATTTTTGTTATTTAATTGAATCACAATCTGAATTTGCAAACACAAAAAAAAAATAAATAAATAAGTAAATCAAAAACAAAAACTGAATTGGTTAAATATTATAAATATATATACGATAATTTTTTATGATATATTGCATCAACTTTTTGTGGTAATTTGTATAGCACAAAACATAATACGAGCTCTGTGTTTTTGTAAGCGCACCAGATACCAAATACTTATAAACAAACACTTATCTTAAACAAACATCAATATTAGCTAAACATTCACAAATTTATGATTTCCGTGAATTTCGTTGGTTTGTTTGTTGTTTTTTCCTCATTTGCGAACGAACCACCAAAAGAGCCGCATAAAATATTAAATTGATTTATTTACATAATTAAATTTACGCAATTATAAATGTAAACAAGTACCCAGCCTCCCCAAAAATATGCCTAAATACGGCCTAGTTGTGCATAATGAAAGCCTAATCCTCCCGTCCGATACCCTGCAATACCCTCGATTCCCTCCCGCCTCTCTATGCACAAGCTCTTTTATTGTGGTTTACCTAAGGCAAATAACGCAAAACGTTTCGCTGCATTTATTTACACACACATATACAAACACAAGCATATTTTTTATTTTGATTGTACCCACACACATGTATATAAATATATGTATGTATATATTTATATATTTACATGTTTAAGAACTTTTTGCCGCAGCTCATTGTAATATTTTTTTTGGACTTGATCCCGAGTTTGCTTTTTGTTTTTTAATATTTGCCTTCTCTTTTTTTCCATTGTGGGCAAACCTTTTGCACTTTGACCCCCACGCCCCTTAATATACACATATGTGGCTTTTTTCGTTGTTGTTTATCGCTATGCAAATGCGTGAATACATGGCGAAAATCCTTAAATTGATTTTCGCATAAAAATTATTTGATTTTTGTATTTAATTTGTATTCTGTTGACACATTTGATTAAGTTTTATTTGCCATCACCTGCATGTTTGCCGAGTTAACACATTTGCATCTGTTTGCCCCCACTCTCCGTTTCTCTCACTCCTCTATTACGCCTATATATATCCCTCTCCATCTATGTATATTTTTTCCGGGCAGTTAATCTGCCCATTTGTTAAAGCAACAATGTAAAACTGTTTTTTCTCTTGCTCAAACTAATTGTTTATTATTTGTTCTAAGTATAAACTTGACAGCTGAGCCAATAGTTTTAACAATTTATATAGTTTTTGACTATTTGTGAGAGATAATTAATCTGAAGTGCACACAAAAAAGTTTTTGTGTTTCGCAAAAAGCGACTAAATTTGCATGTCAAATAGCGGTAATTGGAGAGATGGGAATATATTTTCAGATAACAATAACAGAAAAAAAAAGAAATATATAAAAAAATTATAAACGAATATGCGATTCTTATTGCTCATGTGAATATCCAAAATAAGTAAAGGCATTGAAATACTAAGAACTTTAAAGTATTATGGACTTTTGCCTCTTCTAAGAAGGGAAGAATTAATTCTGCTATTATTGGAGCCTACAGCTCAGAAGATAATCAATATACAATAGATTGGCGAAAAGAAAAAAAAAATTTAATATAAAAACATACACACATTGATCGATTTCGAATCGAACCTCAATCTTACTCTTTTTAAATTATCGCAGTTTTCCTTTAATTTGAAATCGCAAAAATAGCATCTAAGACTCTCTCAGACTATCTATAATGAATGCAGATACTTTTTAAGTCATCTATAACTCAAGTGAACAATTGCTAAGCTTCCCAACTTTTCATTTATTCTTCTTTTCCTTTTTTCCACTCCAAAACCAAGTATATACTAATATCTCCGTTTATACTTTGACTTTGCTATCCTACATTGACGTACCTAAATGTCTTCTAGCTATAACTTGAAACATAACTTTACATTGTTGCAAGCCCACACACTTTCACAATTTCATGATTTCCCATTTTGGTTTACAAACGCTTTTCGCACTCACTCATGAACTTGCTTGTTAGCTGATAAGTCGAACTGCTTGTTAAATTCACCATCTTGATTTACCGAGTACCTGTTAAGTTATTTCAACACACAGTAGAGGAAGAAGATAATGAAGATGATGAGGCAAGGTGTTGGCACTCACTTAGTTTGATTTGATTTTGGCTAAGCACAGTCTAATGAATTGTAATTTTAGTTAATGATAAGCACCTAGCCAAGTAATCGCAACTAAGTTAATCATTAAGCACACTGCAATTTACCTGTAAGAGCACTCGAAAAAAATCAATGCACCCAGCACAAAGCGAATGTGGACTAAAGGGACATGCACATGCATAGATATGCTGTAGTCCGCACTGGCTACTTTTTCCCATTTAATGTTGGACTTATGAATGTATTATATGGTATTTTATGAGCACTGCACCTCAAGCACTTCAGCGTGTCTAGTCAGCACATTATTCTTCTGCACAGCTCTCTATTCTCGGTCTGTGTCGTCTACATTATATATATATATACATCATTTTAATTGTACTCAATTTAGCACAATCAAAGCTCTGTGTGTGCGCGTGTGTGTGTGCGAATGTGTGTGACTTCCATTGATATCCCTGCGGCTGCAGCATTTCACAGTTAAAGGGTCAGGGCATAAGTATGCTACAGTATTCTGTATACCATATATGATGTATTTGTATATGCATATATATGTATATAATATATATATATATATATATATATATATATATATATATATATTGTATATGTTTTATTTTCTTAATTTTTGTTTTTTTCGCTCACATATTTCGCTCGTTAGCTTCGTTGCGCTTTGCTTTCAATGCGAAATGCAAATAGCACCTGCCCCAAAGCTGGGCACTTGCTACGTTCCTCCCCCACTCTGTAATGCCCGCCCCAGCCCCTGCGGTGTCAGTTCCTAATGCAGTCAGCTCGCCTTTTGTGTGTGCTAGAGAAGACTCAAACACACACATACAAACACGTTGTATGCAGAACGGAAATAACCGAAAAAAACTGGATTATAGCATAAGAGGAAGAGAATTAAGGATATGCTCAACTGGCATGGGCTGATACTTGTGAGGATATTGGAATACAATTTCTGATCAGGCTTTATTTTAATTTCAATGCAATTGCGTTCTAAGAAAATATGCTATACCATATCAAGACAATACAATATTGCTATACCATATCAAGACCTACATATATCAAATATTTCTTTCAGATCTTTAAGCCGATTAAATACTTTTACAAAAATACTCTATACATTCTAAACAATCTGCATGCCCCAACTTTATTTACTTTACAGGGTATACAAATAAGTAAGAGCTGTGAAAAAAACAGCAGCTCAACAATTTCGTAGCTTAACCTGGCACTAGCACGTATCTTTATTTTTTCTATTCAGCAGCGCAATTAAAAAAAAAAAAAAAAAAGAAGAAAAAAAAACATATACAGCTATACAGGAAGACCTCCTAGCATTTTAATTATTTTATATACTCATACAGTGAGTGTGTGTTTGTGAAAGCATGTGAAATGACAAGAGAGAGACAAAGCTGATGCAAAGTGCTACAGTTGCAATAGCTCTCTGCTCTGAGCCCTTAGCCCTTTATTAGTCTTGCCCCACTGTGCAGGAGAACACTAATGAAGCATAATTTAACATTTGTGGCGCGAGTCGCATTTGAATAATTTCTATTATGCAGTTGCTCGACAAATTTTTAATGAAGTGAACAAGTTCCATATGGAAACTAGAAACTATATACGCGTATAATAAGAAATTAAATAATTTATGTGAATAGTCTAACCCAATAAGTACATTTAGCTTAGCTTTAAGACCTAGGCCTGTTTTAAGCTCTACAAAATACCACATCATAAGAACTATTTTCGACAATTAAATAGAGTATCAAAGCGGGTGTGCCAACAAATATGTACATTTTGTATCAAATATTCATACATGTATTAATTATTCATCCTTCTTCATTTCAACAACGAAATATCTTTAGTTTCTTCTTTTCACGTGATGTCCCAATAATCCCCCTTGTAATATGCACTGAATACTTTTTGTATACTGTAAACTAAAGAACTATATCTTATATCTTTTTTCATATATAAACACACTAAAAAATACCAAAAATATCTTTGCTTGGCCACTCGCACCTTGCACTCTACTTGCTCTGTTTCGTGCACCTTTTTTTGAATGCAAACTCGAAATGGAAAACTGTAAAACAAAAATTTTTGAAAACTTTTTTGATGTCTGAATACAAAACTAAAAACAAAAAAAAAACAAAAAAAAACAAATATTTTGCGAAATTTGATTTTTGAACGCAACTCTTTAATGGATGGTGGTTAAATATTAAAAAATACAAATATAAAAAAATACATTTTAAATCTATTTAGAGAAAAAGAGTGAGTATTTTTAAAATGGTTTGACTATAATGTTTAAGAATGCCCTATACATACATTTATATATATCTAAAGTTAAATATTTGTAATATTCTTTTTGTACTGGTCCCCGAATATTGTTGACCAATCACTAAAGAATCAAATCTCTTTTTGTTTTTTGACATGTTTTTTCTATTTCAAAACAAATCATTTTTTAATGCCAAAATGTCAGCGAGGATTTTGCAATAGGGCTCTTGTCTTTTTCCACCAAGAGCCGCCGAAAAGAACTACTGATCAAATTTATACGTACATATGTATATTTACAAATATATATTTTTGATTTCCACTACATGTTTTGCACACGAACAGTAAAAACAAAATACTTTTTTGAATGCCTACATGTTTGGTTTTGACTAATCGAAGTCGAGTTGAACAGGAGCGGAAACCTAACTGAGAATGGTCCGATGCTCTGATTCGATCTTGTTTCGATTGTCAAGTTTTTGTGTACATTTTTTTAATCTACTCTATAAGTATTATATATACTACCTAAACATTAGCAAGGTATCAATGCACTTCTTATTCACTTTTTGTGCACCTTCTACTACTGAGCAACCTATATTTATTTATTTATTTATATATACCTACCTAAACTATAACTCTAAATATACCTTACATATAGCACCTAAGCAGCATTTTCTTTGATACTTTATACAATTTTACAATTTACGACATTATATATTTTGTTTTTCTAACTGTGATGTGGTGACTTGGTTGACTTGGAGCTAAGTTCGTTCTGGTTTTTGTATATTTCTCCTAGGGTCTAAGGCAACCTTAGCACTTAGTGTTGACTGTCTCTAGTTTCATCTATGTCTTACATCTAAGCAACTTAGTCGTAAGAATCCCAAGATCCAAGATCTAAACAATAACCTAAGTTAGCTCCTAAGTAAACTTAAGTATTCAACAGTTCTATGCAAAGACATAACTTGTGCTTACCCCAAGCTAATCTATTATTTCCTCGTCGACGTCTCTAGTGCCCGGAGATCCGCAGGATGTCAAAGCTACGCCCCTAAACTCAACATCCATACATGTGAGCTGGAAACCGCCTCTCGAAAAAGATCGGAACGGCATCATTCGAGGCTATCACATCCACGTGCAGGAAATGCGAGATGAGGTAAATATTTGTGTAGAAATCGGATAGCAAAGAATATACGGTATAAACTAAAATATCATTTATCGCTCGCACCTAGGGCAAGGGCTTTCTCAACGAACCTTTCAAGTTCGATGTGGTCGACACGCTGGAATACAGTGTGACCGGCCTGCAACCCGACACAAAATACTCGATTCAAGTCGCTGCTCTGACGCGAAAGGGTGACGGCGATCGTAGCACTGCGGTGATTGTCAAAACCCCCGGAGGGGTGCCCGTACGACCGACAGTAAGTCTTAAGATCATGGAACGCGAACCAATTGTCTCTATTGAACTGGAATGGGAGCGACCGGCACAAACATACGGAGAGCTGCGCGGCTATCGCCTGCGCTGGGGCGTCAAGGATCAGGCACTGAAGGAGGAGATGCTCTCCGGACCACAGATGACCAAGAAACGTTTCAACGATCTCGAACGCGGCGTAGAATACGAGTTTCGTGTAGCAGGCAGCAATCACATTGGCATTGGCCAGGAAACAGTCAAGATCTTTCAGACTCCTGAGGGCACACCTGGCGGACCGCCGTCCAATATAACCAAACGCTTCCAAACACCCGATGTGCTTTGCGTCACTTGGGACCCACCAACGCGCGACCATCGCAACGGACTCATCACACGGTATGATGTGCAGTTCCATAAAAAAATCGACCATGGGCTGGGCTCAGAGCGAAATATGACACAGCGTAAGGCGGTATTCACCAACCTGGAGGAGAACACCGCGTACGTTTTTCGCGTGCGGGCGTACACGAAACAAGGCGCCGGCCCATTTAGTGAGAAGATGATTATAGAAACCGAGCGGGACATGGGACGAGCTCCAATGTCCGTGCAGGCGGTGGCCACCTCCGAGCAGACAGCGGAAATCTGGTGGGAGCCGGTGCCAAGTCGTGGCAAGCTACTAGGCTATAAGATCTTTTACACCATGACGGCCGTCGAGGATCTAGATGATTGGCAAACGAAGACCGTGGGTCTGACCGAATCGGCGGATCTGGTCAATTTAGAGAAGTTTGCCCAGTACGCTGTGGCCATCGCGGCCAGGTTTAAGAATGGACTGGGACGTCTCAGTGAGAAGGTTACGGTGCGCATCAAGCCAGAGGATGTCCCGCTCAATCTGCGTGCTCACGACGTCAGCACACACTCAATGACCCTCTCTTGGTCACCACCCATACGCCTTAATCCCGTCAACTACAAGATCAGCTTCGATGCGATGAAGGTGTTTGTGGACTCGCAGGGCTTCTCCCAAACACAAAGTGTGCAAAAGCGTGAGATAATCCTGAAGCACTTCGTGAAGACGCACACGATCAACGAGCTGAGCCCTTTTACCACCTACAACGTAAATGTGAGCGCCATTCCCTCGGATTACTCCTACAGACCGCCGACGAAGATAACGGTGACCACTCAAATGGCTGCCCCACAGCCCATGGTCAAGCCCGATTTCTACGGCGTGGTAAATGGCGAGGAGATATTAGTTATACTGCCACAGGCATCCGAGGAATACGGCCCCATCTCGCACTACTACTTAGTTGTGGTACCCGAGGATAAATCCAATCTGCACAAAAACCCCGATCAGTTTCTCACCGACGATCTGCTGCCCGGTCGCAATAAGCCAGAGCGCCCCAATGCACCATATATAGCTGCTAAGTTTCCACAGCGCTCGATACCCTTTACCTTCCATCTTGGTTCGGGCGATGATTATCACAATTTCACCAATCGCAAGCTGGAGAGAGAGAAGCGCTATCGCATCTTTGTGCGCGCCGTTGTAGATACCCCGCAGAAGCATCTGTATACATCCAGTCCCTTTTCTGAGTTCTTATCGCTTGACATGCGAGAGGCGCCGCCCGGCGAACGTCCCCATCGACCTGATCCCAACTGGCCCTCAGAGCCGGAGGTGTCCGTAAATCGCAACAAGGATGAGCCGGAGATACTGTGGGTGGTGCTACCCCTGATAACCGCCTTTGTTGTCTCAACCACACTGATCGTGCTGTATGTGGTTAGGCGTCGCAGGCAGCCCTGCAAAACCCCAGATCAGGCAGCTGTTACGCGTCCTCTGATGGCCGCTGATTTGGGGGCTGGTCCAACGCCCAGCGATCCGGTTGATATGCGCCGACTAAACTTCCAGACGCCTGGTATGATCTCACATCCGCCCATACCCATCTCGGAGTTTGCCAATCACATTGAGAGACTTAAGGCCAATGACAATCAGAAATTCTCGCAGGAGTACGAGAGCATCGAGCCTGGCCAGCAATTCACCTGGGACAATTCCAACTACGAGCATAATAAGTCGAAGAACCGGTATGCCAATGTCACCGCCTACGACCATTCGCGTGTCCAGTTGCCCGCCCAGGAGGGCGTCCTCGGCTCGGACTACATCAATGCCAACTACTGTGACGGCTATCGCAAGCATAATGCCTACGTAGCTACCCAGGGACCGTTGCAGGAGACCTTCGCCGATTTCTGGCGCATGTGCTGGGAGCTGAAGACGGCGACGATTGTGATGATGACCCGGCTGGAGGAGCGCACACGCATCAAGTGCGATCAGTATTGGCCCTCACGTGGCACCGAGACCTACGGCCAGATCTTTGTCACCATCACCGAAACCCAGGAGCTGGCCACCTACAGCATACGCACGTTCCAACTGTGCCGTCAGGGCTTCAACGATCGCCGCGAGATCAAGCAGCTGCAGTTCACGGCTTGGCCGGATCACGGTGTGCCCGATCATCCTGCTCCCTTCCTGCAGTTCCTGCGTCGCTGTCGCGCCCTCACCCCACCCGAATCCGGGCCAGTTGTGGTTCACTGCTCAGCGGGTGTGGGTCGCACTGGCTGTTACATTGTCATTGACTCGATGCTGGAACGGATGAAGCACGAGAAGATCATCGACATCTACGGCCATGTGACGTGCTTGCGCGCCCAGCGCAACTACATGGTGCAAACGGAAGATCAGTATATCTTCATTCACGATGCCATCCTGGAGGCCATTATCTGTGGATCGACAGAGGTAGCCGCGCGCAACTTGCATAGCCATTTGCAGAAGCTGCTAACCACCGAGCCGGGCGAGAGCATTTCGGGGATGGAGGTGGAATTCAAGAAACTCTCGAATGTCAAGATGGACTCCTCCAAATTTGTAACCGCTAACTTGGCCTGCAACAAGCATAAGAATCGTCTGGTTCACATTCTTCCCTACGAATCGAGTCGCGTGTATCTAACTCCCATCCATGGAATTGAGGGCAGCGACTATGTCAATGCCAGTTTCATAGATGGCTACCGGTATCGTTCGGCCTATATTGCGGCTCAGGGACCTGTTCAGGACACCGCCGAGGACTTCTGGCGCATGCTCTGGGAGCACAACTCCACCATAGTTGTTATGTTAACCAAGCTCAAGGAAATGGGCAGGGTAAGCTGAACATGCTGTATATTTATTGGATATCGTCTAATCTGTATTCTCTTTTGCAGGAGAAGTGCTTCCAATATTGGCCTCACGAGCGCTCCGTACGCTATCAGTATTATGTTGTGGATCCGATCGCCGAGTACAATATGCCGCAGTACAAACTGCGAGAGTTTAAGGTGAGTCATACCATTTCATACTTCCTATACATCTCTCTATACGACCTCCGTCCGCTTCTCCCCTTCAGGTTACCGATGCTCGTGATGGTTCTTCCCGAACCGTGCGTCAGTTCCAGTTCATAGACTGGCCGGAGCAGGGTGTTCCAAAGTCTGGTGAGGGCTTCATCGATTTCATTGGACAGGTCCACAAGACCAAGGAGCAATTCGGGCAGGATGGACCCATCACGGTCCACTGTTCTGCCGGTGTGGGCCGCACGGGCGTCTTTATCACACTCAGCATTGTGCTCGAGCGCATGCAATACGAAGGTGTGCTCGATGTGTTTCAAACGGTGCGCATTTTGCGATCTCAGCGACCAGCCATGGTGCAGACGGAAGTGAGTAACCCCAAAATTGACCAAAGATCGAGGCTCTATCTCTGCGTAGCAGATTTCGGAAATATGTTGACTGAAACTAATTTTTCTTTTACAGGATCAATATCATTTTTGCTATCGCGCTGCCTTGGAGTACTTGGGCTCGTTCGACAACTATACAAACTGAAGAAGCTAAGCAGAAGAAGTAGCAGGAAAATGACCAGAATTTGGAGTTGAAGTCCGGGCTACAGAGCAAAAACATTGTCAACTCCATGTTCATGTTAAATGTTGCATGTTCGTTGTTTTCAATTGTACGCATAAATACGCATTTACGATAAAGACGGATACCTTAACTTTAAAGTATTATAGCCAGATACTGCCCACAAATTACTTACTTATATACTATGCATAGTACGAGGGTAGTCTGAGGCCGATCTTAAGATAAAAGGGTAGCAAAATAAAATGTTATTTAAATGAATAGAGAGTTATTGGTAAATCGGAAAAGCTCTCAGGCTATCCTCGCTTATATAAATTTGAATAGCCATTTCCTTATCCCTATTTTGATTAGTTTTTAGCATCTCTTATCACTCCCGGTCTTTGATTTTGGTATAAAATGTAAACTCAAGAAGACTGTTACAAGTTTAATTATCAGTAATTTATACTTAAATGCATATATATCCCTATACCTACATATATATATATATATATATATATATATCAAGTGTGTCCATACAGTTTTTGCTCGAACTAATCAAAATAGTCAATCAACTTGTTGTGGTGCGGCGGGGCGACCCGCTCACTGATTAACCTATACATATTTGAACTAAGGACTTGGTAGCTTTTAAAAACTTACCGCATAAACGAATCTCAAGAAAAGAAAAGATAATTCTAATGATATGAAATGAAATCAACCTAAGCTAAAGGTCGGCTAGAACAGATGGTAGAGCAATGTAGTCCAAAATCCAATTATCATAACAATTATATATACATATAGTATATATATTTACATGTATCTGTATCTGTGTGTACAACAATCAATCAAATATGTTTGATATGTTTTTATACTTGACATACTTAAAAAGTCCGCCTAGGTTCAGTATATATTCCTGTATAAATCTATTTATATGAAGCAAAAGCAAATGTAAACCGTGCAATTAGTAAAAAGTCTTGCGTAGTGCATATCTGTTAAGACGCCTAGTTAAAATTAGTTTAAAGATTAACTTTAATTAGCGGGCAGCTTTTCTACTTTGTAACATTCCCCATATGCAGCTATATAGCTAACGAGTGCTATTCAAATAGTAACGATCAAACCCCTAGATCTTTGTACTTGATTAATGTGTTCTTTTTTTTTCGTTTTATTAAATTATATAAATTCTATTTTGGAAGTCCATTTGACATTCCTACCCAAGTCTAATCATAAGTGCATCCGTCTTAATTTTGTTTATAATTATATTCCTGTATATACCACAAAACCCTGCAGCTATATATGTATAAGTAAATAGGATCCTACAGCTAGAAATTATGGTACCTAACGTATATGAACAAGGCAGCATAGAGAATACACCCAGCCGATTAAGGGGATAGACGAGTAATAAGATAACTGTAGATATATATTGTAGAATACTTAACATATATAAACCGCAAAATACGTCTATATATTAATATAAATCGCACCCATTTAAACCTACTCTAAATCTACATCCGCATGGCATTATGAACTAAGAACTATTATAATGTATATACATATTTGATATGCTGCTCAGTCGGCCGAAAATATTTATATATAATGTCGTTAGCAAGCCAATGCATAAAAGCAAAGCAAAATTAAATATTAGACAACTATTTAGCCACATGTTAAAGATCAATAGAAGTAATACGTATGTACACTACAGATATATACACGTAAATATATACGCATTGTGCATAATGCATTATAGACATAAATACACTCACACACTCTCATAAGTAACTGTTATACAAAAAATTTAGCGCGTTGCCCACTAAAGAATTGGAGTTAGGAACTAGGAAATTGACAAGTTGGCGAAATGCCAGAATACGAAAAGTAAATTAAAGCACTGGGGCATATTTGGACTATATATAAAGTGAAATAAAATAAATACAAATTATAGCATTTACGATTAGGAGCAATAGATGTCTAATAGATAATGGTTATCACACCACAGCGTTGCGAGCATATTTAGCATACTTCTATATAAATGAATTCCAAAAATCTATATTGTATATTACAAGAAAATTAAATTGGTCGGCTTGTCAAGTTTTGTTAATACTATATGAAATTGTTTAATATAAAAAATATATACATACATGCATACAATTATTTTACCAATTAGTCAGATATAAAACAATTTTAACGACACACACAAAAACGCCCTAAAAATTAATCAAGCTAGAGTCAAACGATTGTATTGCATACAAACCAACCCTTATGTAAGAAACACATGACGTTAAACCTTATCATATGACTATATGTATCAGATATATAATATATATATATATATAATTTTCGAATGCGGAAAAACCAATGAACATGAATATTAAAAGACGAAATAAAAGTATATATTACGGAAAAAGAAAAAATCTCTAGTAAATTCTGTATAGCCTACATAAAACCAGTAAGAGTGTTACAATCGGGAGAATTCAAGAAAAACAACTGATAATTTTTTTTTTTTTTTTTTTTCCTTACTTCATAAAATGTAAATTACTTGTCAAATGTTGGAATCATAAATCGATTTTTCAGGTAGCTCAATATGTCGCTTATGGTTTTGTTTGACAACTTGAGGTCAGTCGCTTCAACAAAATGAGCGGCAGTTGGCTGAACACATGATCCACAGCATTGCAATAATATATTTAAACGTTTTTGAAATGTTGTAGTTTAGTTCCTCGTATCATATGTGTTGTTGCGTTGCTAGATTCCAACACCTAACTCGAAGGATTTCTAGCCCGTACCCATATAAGCGTTATCAAACAATAACTTTAACGAAATTATTTCTCTTATGTTAACTATATAATATATTTGTTCCGTGTCGATAAATTGAGTTTAATAAAAAAAATATAGTTTCTTTGATACAAATTGTGGATCCGGCCGACACACGACAGATGCCAGCGAAGATTACTTAATATAGCAAACAAACTTAACAATTAGACTTATATGCAAACTGACATGTCGAGCTAGCAGATGAAGTATATAAATACTTTATTGAAAATGAGTTTTGCTTCACATCCAAGACATGTGACAGTATTTTAGTACCCTCATCTGGGGTAGATAAACATTACATTTGGGATTTCGCTACAAATAATTACAACGCTCAAAATATATAGATTACAATTAAAGCGAAATCAATAGAAACAAATATCGTAATGCGTTAACTTGACTTGGTCTCGTTAGTAACAGAGGCCTGCTTAATTTCTGACATGATATTTATTGGATCCTCGCTGCGCAAATAACCATTGTGCTCGGGATGGGATTCGAAAACGACCTCGCCGCGTATTACACGCACACGTGGGCCGTGTGCACGAGCCGTGAACTTAACTTTGCCGCACGTATCCGGGCGTAGCCGACGATGTGCGCGCAAGCCACTAACCACTACAAAGTTCTTATCGCATCCATAGCACTTGTAGCGCTTCATACCAATGTGACGTGATAGATGCGAGATCAGCGTCTCGCGATGCGTGAAGTCCAGCGAACAGACCTGCAAGAGAAGAACATTATCGGAAGATATAGTAAAATGTCAGTTAACGAACAGTTTTATTATTACGATAGGAAAATCATAGACTTAGACCAATATACGCGTTACTACTTTGATTATTAGTAAGCTGAAATCTATATTGCTATCAATATTCAAAAGTCAGCTTCTACTTTTACAGAACCACAGATATTTCATTGTATACAACAGCATCCTTACCTTGCATTTAAATGGCTTCTCGCCCGTGTGCCTGCGTTGATGGACGCGTACCTGTCCGGGCGTCCGAAAGCGTTTCTCACAGAAGTTACATTTATGCGGCAGCTCGCCGGTGTGTATCATCTTATGAATTCGCAAGGCGCCCACTGTCGTAAAGCACTTGGCGCAATCGTCGCATTGATACTGAGCGGGACGAACAATGGGTCCTGGTCGTGCTGACTTAGCAGAGTTGGGTGGAGAAGAAGAATTTTCAGAAGCTGGCTTTAGACATGATACGGCAGTTGTAACTGCTGCTGCGTCGTTGACAGGAGCCACAGCGCTAGGAGGAGCAGGTACGTCTACTGGAGCTGATGCTTCTGGTGCAGAAGAATATGCTACCACAGATGCTGCTACTTTTTCTTCTGCTCCTGCGGCATCCGTCACAGGAGTCTTGGACTCATTCGATCCTACAAAATTATAAATTATTATTCAAAATCTTAAAGTGAAAAAAAAAAAAAAAACAACTTTTACTCACTCTTGTACATTTTTACTTCCACCTCCATCTGTTCAAACTCAGCTTCCGCAATGCCATGCACCTGCGTCAAGTGGTTACAGAATGCCAAATAGAGTTCGTAACAGCGTGCACATTTTGGACATTCCCAATGGAAACGATGATTGGGATAGGTGAAACGCAACTGGCGGACTTTCGAGTGGCTCGCCTTGGTTAATGGCATCTTAAGAACCTCCAACTGCGTTTGCACAACCAGTTTATTGCTTTTCTTTGGCATTTGCAGGACACTCCCGGGCATCGGAAGCGTTTGCTCTATGCTGCGTATTTGATTCTGGAACTCAGTGATGATCTTGCGAGATTCGGGCAGGCTCTCAAACAAACTTAATGCATTGAAATAGGCATTGCGATTCAACGTGGGCTTTTGTGTGCCTGCTACTTGTGATGCAACTGCACTAGGTGCCTTTGCAACGGTTGGGCTATTGCTCGGCTGTGAAACCGAACTTATCGACAGAGCACTTGGCGGTGTTACAACTGTGCTGCCTGTGGAACAATTATTTGTGTTTATGTTGCCCGAGCTAGGCGATATCTTGACGATTTTTGTATTTGGTGGCAATTTGAACAGCATACAGTTGCTTGGCAGCACCTTCAAGATGTTACTTGCAATGTGAGGCTTATTCTTTACGGGTTGTACGACTTTAGGTGGATTTATGGGGCCTTTGCTTGCATTCAAAATGTTATTCAGCTGCTTTGGCTCAGAGATGGACAATTGTACGGGCTTCAATTGGTCCGATGGTACAACTGCAAATGAGGAATTAATGATAATTTAATGTTGTGAAATATTTCTTGTAGACTTAAGCTTACGTTGTATGGCGGTAGATTTATTTTGTTTAGCAGTTTCCACGTTGACAGGTTTCTTTATGGCTGGCAGGCGCAATTTGCCGCGCAATTGTCCTGCTAGACTGTTATCACTTGCCCAGCTGGGCTCACGGTCAGACTTTGACTCTTCTTCAATTTCTTCTTTAATCTGTGGTTCTGTTTTGATAACATCCGACATATCTATGTCCTGCTCTGTTTGCTCCTCTGCTGCATCCAGCGGTTCTGTTTTGATTTGTACGTCGAAATTCATGTCCAACCTATTGACCGCCACTAGTTGACCCACGTTACCATGCATATCTGCATACTCCACTTGTCCGCATAGCCCCTTGCTGTGTTGCCAATGCAGCTGCAGACCCGTATTCGTCTCAAAGTGCCTGCGACATATCGCGCAAACAAAGCGGCGAACAAAAAAGTGACTGCCTAAGTGCTTAGCCAAGCTGGCAGCATCGCTACATTCCAACAGACAAATCTGAAAGAATTAATATTTATTACATAAATTTGCAAAGGTTACGTTCTTCAAATACTTTAAATAATTTTTGTAATTAACTCAATAAAATTTAAATATTTTTCATTAAAGACCCAATCGTTAATTGTGCACCAATGGTAATTTGTGATACCATTAACTACATATTTATAAAATTTCAATATTTTCAATGATAAACAAATCGTTAAATATGTTATGTACGTAATCCGAAGAGAAATTGGCATAGCAACAGATAAACGAACCATTCTTTGTTTCGATCCCGAATTTAACCTTAATTTAATTTTTGCAATATATTATGATAATCGAAAAAAGAACTGCATTACTTAACATAAATAGTAAATAGTGATAACATACATGTATGTATCTTTCATTACAATTCATAGGAAATGTTTTCGTTAATTATATTATTTTTACTATTACCATTGTTATTAATAAATTTTGATTTTCAATATGTTATTACCCTGCAGCTCGATCCGGTATAACTGGACGCATGCTGACGAAATTCATGCTCCAGTATTTCCTCCAACATGTCGCACCAAACTTCACAGCCATAGTAGCAAAAATGTCGATTTAACTGGTGGTTGATCTGATGCGAGGCCAGCGCCAGACGATTTTCACACCTATAACTGCAAATGTTGCATGCAAGTGCGCCATCATTTTCACAGGATGATGTCACAAATAACTGTAATGTAGAGAGAACTTAAAAACATGTTCGCATGTGTTGGTGTGCTAAGGTTGGGGCCTGCCTTTTGCTGCTGATCGACCGTGCGGAGACTCTCAATAAACTTTAGCTCGTCCTCGGATTTGTAGTCATGCACCGGCACTGTTATCATATTAGGCTTCTCATCGATGATTTTAATAAAGCGGGTCGCTGCAAAGTATCAGTAAATTTAACACAAATACACTAATTACGACAAAGCTAACGGTATAGTGCGTAGCAAAAATAGCCACAACACATGCAAAATGACAACCATGCGCACGCATACTAACATACATACCCATACAATGTCATATTGCAAATGGAAAAACGGACAATATTTACCACACGGCAGCTCCAACTGGGGTGCATCTTCATCTAACTCTAGCTTTATCTTGGTATCATCAATATCAAGCTCCTCTTTTTTTATCACAATTTGTTCCTGCATCTCTTTGTCGCGTAGGAAAAGTGCGCAAAAAAAAGTACCGCTGCGATCAGTAGCTGCTATCGACTGCTCTTTTAAAGAATATCGAATAGACAACGCTTGGCTTGCGAAATGAATTGCATGGACTTAGCGATAGCTTCATATCGATAGTTTATCATCACTACGATTTGTACACTGAACTGTAACAGCACGATAAATACTGCTAGGAAAAAAAGGGGAAAAAAAACTATAAGCAGACAAATTGTTTGTTTTTAAATTGAAAATTGTTTGCAGATTAATAGAATTAGCATTTATTAATGTACATTAGTGAACTACTCAACAAGGAACCCATTCACAGAAATTGATATATAAATTGGGAAAATAAATGTAATAATTATTTGCGAGCGTAAACCAAAATAAAGATGAGCAATAGCGAGGACTCACAACAATATCTAAATGATATGATGGTCAAAGAAGAGGATGAGGCATCAGGAGGTAACCTGTCAATCAAACGGCTATAGGTCGCTTAATAATTTTATGGTGTTGCAGACGAATCAGACAGACACGATGGACACGGCATCATGTTGCGTGAACAGGATCGATTTTTGCCCATTTGCAATATCATCAAAATAATGAAGGTGCCCGTGCCGCAGAATGGCAAAATAGCCAAGGATGCCAGAGAGTGTATACAGGAATGTGTCTCCGAGTTCATATCCTTCATCAGCAGCGAGGCCATCGAGCGCAGTGTCGCAGAAAATCGAAAAACGGTGAATGGAGACGATTTGCTAGTGGCATTCAGCAATTTGGGCTTCGATAACTACGTAGAGCCTCTCTCCATTTATTTGCAAAAATATCGCGAGGTGAGTCGGTGTCTTATGGAAGACATAATATATGTGCATATTTGACTTTCTTATCTCTTTCACCCAGTCAAACAAATCGGATCGCAATTTGTTTTTGGACAGCAGCTATATGCAAAGCGAGGATGCCAGTGAATCGGGGAAGCAGTAGCATCCTAACTTATGGGTGTTTTATTTATTTAAACTTAAGATTTAATGTTTTAAGAGGGTAGTCTGAATTAAATAATTTTTCGTTTTCTCCTAATTATGTTCGCATTATTTTCGGAATTCTTATATTATCCGCATATTCAACCAGTGACTTAGGAATAGGTCTAGGTCTCTGTGGGCATTCATTTCACGAGACACTCATTTCTTAAATCTTCAGCATTTAATATAAGTATATTTTAAGACGTGCTTTTAACTTTTTTTCCTACCTGTAATGTATATAAGGTCAAAACCAAGTGTAATTTCTTAGTAATATAAGAGTTTTATTTATTATGTATATTTTATAAGACACCAAGTACTTTTGTATATGCTACAGGTTTACATATATATATTTATATATATGCAATATTAAAAAGAGTACGATAGGTCGATAGTCATATTGTTTGATGCAATCCTTATGGAAATAGTTCAGTTTTAGCTGCCAGCAGAGTCTTACATTACGGAGAAATAGTAGGTGTTGATCATTTCCAATGGTCAATACTAACATTTGATATTTAAGGACATATCCCACACAGTTATCTTTTAGCCTTTAGGGTATGAGGAGCTGTGATCTACTTATGATAATAATACTACACTAACAGTAAAACAATTTAAAAATGTAATTAAATCAATTACTAAACAAGGAACATTTTGTGTCTACGTAAAAGTTAAATCATATGGCCATAAGGTTTCTAAAATCACTCGATTACTCATTAATTAGACAACTATATTATATATGTAAAACATATATATATATATGTATATATAGATTAGCTAATCCGTTACATTACGAATAGGAGTGGAAAGGGCGTTTGGTTTCTACTTAAGATTAGTTTGGGTAGACGTGGTACTTCTTTCATAAATACATTGATAGAGATACTGAGTGATTAAATATATATATATATTAAATATTTTTAAATTATTTGAGACTAACACTAAGTTCAAATGAAATGGCTTATAGACATTGGGACGTGACACTTCTACTCCAAACATATATTAGATAAACATCCTGAATTCCGTGAGGAGCTGTTATTGAGCACCGTTCGAATTGTAGCCAAATTATTCCAAAAGTCAAATATTCAAGAAATGCGTTTTGGCTGAACCTGCAAAATTTGACAGCAATCTCCCTTGACCACATTTCGAAGTATAGTTTTTATAAGTATTAAGGTGACGACCTGCTGATATTACCGTTTTGATGGGGTAATAAAATGATACTTTCGGCTAAGAGTGCTATTGTTATAGCATCAAATCGTCACTTTCTAGGGGCTCATCCTTGATGCAGAGCATCTTAGGATTGTTTATAACATAATCGTTGAGAAATATGTTGTTATCATTGTGCGTCAAATGCAATGTAGGCATTGCGTCCGGGAGCAGACGACCCGGCTCTATGAAACAATAACTCTCAAAGTGTTTAGAGCAGATGTGTTTCGTATTGTCCCACTTGGCAATGGGTTCGATTTTAAGATTATAGCACCACTTGACTCGCTGATTGCGGTTATCGGGGAAGTCTTGCATGGGCAGCTGCACATCCTCAACGCCACAAATGAGGCAACTGAATGCCTTCGCAGGTAGATGGACTGCACAAATGTGTTTACCAGAGTAGCGTTGTACATCCGGAAAATCTAGGGCTTGGCACCATTGATGAAGCAGCAAAGGATCTATGACAAAATAAGAATCTGATTAGAAAATCATACAGAAATGCTCTCTCTATGGCTTACCACTTGGAAACTTATGCAGCTTGACAAATCCATTGTGTTCGCAGTCAGTGATGCAACAGCGTGGAGTACTTTCCGGTAACTCAGGCAGCTCCGACTCTTTAATATTTGGACCAAGATTCCTTGTTGGCACGGCATTGGTGAAGAGGCGACGAACGCCAATCAGTTGCGGATCAAAATGACGGCTACAGATGAGCTTAGTGTTCCGCTGCGATGGAATAAAGCGCATGCCTGTCGCTTGCTCCCATTTACGTATGGCGCCAATGTTGTTGGGCAGTCGGAAGAGTTTGATGCCATCGCCTCGTGGCCTGCGACAGTGGGGCAAACAGCATTGTTTTATTTTCCATGGCTGCAACTGGCCAGGAGGGCAGGGATCGCAGCGTGAAGGACGCTCTCGTTTGAGCTGTGGTTCCGCAGGCAGCTGCTCAGACCCATTGTCTTCGTAATCATCGTTGTAATCCTCCAACATAGTATCGTCCACATCATAATCATAGCCGTCTGCCTCACCGTCGCTACCCACCTCCATCTGCTGCTGGCTTTGCTCGTTCGTGTAGAGTTGCTCCGGCACATTTTCGCCCAGCTCCAAGGTAGGCACTGCCCAGGGACGGAGCTTCCTTAGTCGTATGCATCGCGGCTCAAAGTGCGCGCTGCATATCATGGTCTTCCATGGTCGCCGTTCGTCGTATCGAATACGCAAATTGTGCATCCAGTGTTGCTGAAGCTGGCGGGAACGTGGAAATTTATAGATGTGCACGCCATGCTGTGAGCGCTGGCGCTGACAATGGATTAGGGAGCACTTGTCATAGCCCGACTTGACCGGATTATAGTAGCTGTTGTCGCTGCACTTCTCCTGCTTAATGCTGCGCTCATTCCAATTGTTATTGCAGTTCAAATAATTGTCCTCATGTTCCGCTTCTTCCTGACCTTCATGCAATTGGAGTTGTGGTTCTAGCATACTTAAGTCCTGTTCCTGTTCCGCCTCCTGCTTCTGTGCCTGCACCGAATCATCCTCCTCGAATGGCTGCGCTTGCTCATGCTTTACAGTGAAATTTTGTTCGCTATGCATATCCTTATCCGAGCGCAAGCCAATGACCAAAAAGTCATTGTCAAAGAGCTGCTTAGGTGCGCGGGGCCCTAGCTTCAGGGTGGGCACACTGCCTTGCATCAGTCGCATGTTGCCCAGGCAGATGGGTTCAAAGTGTGCGCTGCAGATGCGATAGCGCCAACGATACTCTGGATCGAAAGGCACCTGCGTGTTGTGCTGCCACTTGGCGCACATGTCCGCCGAGTGTGGGAACTTGTGAAGAGTCAAATTTTCACTGGTCAGATGATTCGAGCAGCCTTCGATCTGACAGAACTTGCTGGATTTGCGAGGCGGAGCGGGACAGGGCAGGCGCAATTTGATGTCAAGCTTGGAGTCCTCAGTAGGCAGTGGAGACTGCTCTTCCACTGCATTCGCTGCCGTCTGTTCCTGCTGAACATTGAATTCGTTATCGTAGATACGCGCAGGACGTCGGGACCCCAAACGCAACGTGGGCATGGCTCCACGTCTAATGCGCGATCCATTGAAGCACTCAGGGACAAAATGATAGCTGCAAATGCGAAAGCGCCACGCATAGTTGGTGTCTACATCCACCTGGGTATTGTGCATCCACTTTTCCATAGCATCTATCGATGTGGGGAACTTGTGCAACTTCAGATTGCCGTCCACATCTAGCACCGTCACACCGCAACCTCGCACGCTGCAATGCCTCGCGCTGTAGCGAGAGTTATTGCCGTTTACTGCTCCGCTACCTGGTGGATGTGACGAACCTGAAGGATTATGCGACGGCTGTTCGGCATAGCTTATGGAGGGCTCTGTGTCCATCTGCTCATAGGTGGTGCACTTCTCTACGTGCCCCACCTCGAGTAGCACCTCCAGCTCCTGCATCTCTTGCGGCTGCTCTTCATAATAGTCATCTTCGTACACAGATAGAGGCTCCTGCTTGACCTGTGATTCCAGTTTGATTTGCGACTCTTCCTGTTCCTGCTCGTCCTCCTGCCCCTGGTCATTCTCCTGCTCCAGTATTTGGTGCTTATGCATCGCATATTTTATATTCCGCATTTCCCTCTGCTTCTGCTTATCATTCAGCTCAACACTGGCTTCCAATGCCTGCAGTGCTGATAGTTGCTCATTCATGCGTTGCCACTGCTCCTCCGTAGGATTCTGATGCACTGGTGGCTCTGGCAGCTCCAACGTAGGCACGCTCCAGGGTTTTAGTCGTCGCGCCTTCTCCACTAGGCAATTGGACTCGAAGTGCCTGCCGCACACCCGAAACTTGTAACGCTCATTATCATTGTAAGGCATCCGCATGTTGTCCAGCCACAGCTCGAGCACATCACGTCGTGTGGGCGACAAGTGCAGGCAATGCTCATCTCTCGGCCTTAGAGTCCTGCAGCCAGGCACAGCGCAGCTGGCGATGCGAATGCGCACACTGTTGCGAGCAGCTTCGTAGTTGGATGTTAGCAGTTCCTCCTCCGCCGATTGTTCAGGGAACTCCTCGTACAGCATGATCAAGTGCAGCGGGCAGAGTTTGAGCGGCTGCTGCTGATCGTGTTCCTCCAATCCCAGATACGACAGCCATGTTTCACGCAGTGCCAGCCCTTGTGGCAAATCGTAGGTAATTTTTTGAAAGCCCTTTTGCAGTTCCACGCAATCTGGATAGCAACAGTCGCAGTGGATACGGAAACGCCCGGACCGAGCCGACATTGGCAGCTCTTTGATGCTTTCGTGTATGTTATCCGTCTCAGCGTGACCCAAGTGGAGTGTAGGCATGGCGCCTATATGTAGTCGGTCACTGTCTATGCAGCTGGGCTCGAAGTGCACGCTACATATGCGACGGCCTTTCACTGGAACCTTGTTAGGATCGAGGCGGAAATTCTGCAGCCATTTCTCTACTAGAAACTTAGACTTTGGCAGCCCGAATAACTGCACGTTATCCGCATCCTTCGAGCGTCCACAGCTGGGCACAACGCATACGTGGGCTTCCTCCTCCCAGCTGGCCGGATTGGGCAGCACATCTAGCAGGTCATCGTGGCCCAAATGAAGTGTGGGTCGTGCAGCTTGGCGTAACAGCTTGTCCGCATTGAAGCAGTGCGCCTCGAAGTGCCGTTCACAGACATGTGGCTCCTGGCCCACCAAAGACGCCGCATCAATGCGCAGGTTATGACACCAATCCTCCATCTGATGTGTCCGCTTTGGCATTTTAAAAAGGCGAGGACGCCTTGCACCCTCCTCCACAATGCAGCCATTGACTAAGCAGCGCATCTCGTAGATGGGTCGGCTCAGTTCAAGAGTGGGCACAGCATCCTCCTTCAGTTGCCCAGACTCAGGGTCGAAGCAGTCGTCCGCGAAATGAGACTGGCACACCTGCAAAACATAAGATCCGTCAGATTTTTGCCTACACAAACTCAAGCTAACTGAAAGACTAATATAGGCATAGGCATAGGTATATAGGCTGAGATCTGCTCTTACCTGAAATCCATCGCTGCTTGCCTGCATGGAACGATGCTTGCAATTGGCAGCCCATCGGCGCAGGGTGGGCCGATCCGTAGGGTAAGCAAAGAGGCGCAGCTGGTCGCTGCGCTGCTGAAAGCAGGTGAGAACGGAGCAGAAGTTCGCATAGATGTACTGCAGCGCCTGCCTATCCTCCTTGCTGTCAGCAATGTTGCCATTGTGCCGAGCATTGGGTATGATATGACCATCGTGACCCAGCTTCAGCGTCGGCACCGCCCAGCTGCGCAACTGCCTCTTGTAAATGGCGTCTGGCTCGAAGTGTTCCTGGCACACAAACAGATGCTGTGTATCCACGAGACGCGGCTGCTGCTGCGTGTTCACCAGCCACTTGCGCAGCGCAGTCTCGATAGTGGGAAAGCGAAACAGATGGGTGAGTGCGTTCTCCTGCTGGCCACAGCTGGCAATGCAGCAGGTGCGCAGTTTACCCCGGGGACTTGGACTTGCGCTCGCGCTGGCCGTCGGACTGACGGAGAGGTAAAGCGGTAGCTCCGTCTTGATTCGTAGCGGCATTTCAAGAGGCACACCTTGCTGGGTTAGTGCGCCATCAGCGTTGTCTTCCAACTTAAGATTCTTATGAATATCCGGGTCGTTGTGGTTGAGGTGCAGTGTAGGCACCGCTCCTAGCCTAGGACGCACTGCGCCCAGGGTATGGGGCTCGAAGTGCCGTAGGCAGATGCGATAGGAGCGCTCGCGATCCGGATCGTAGTCAATTTTCGTATTGTGCAGCCATTTGGCGCGGGTACGTTGGCATGTTGGAAGCCTGGTGAGATGCACGTTGTCTGTGAATTTGGTTTGGCAGCCGGGCACTGAACAGCGCAGCTCCATGGCAATGGTGGATGTGGCGATGAGCTCGTACGTTTCCCTTAGCTCGCACAGGACTATCTCAGGCAACTGATCCGGCAACGGCACCTGCTCGAACAGCTGCATGTAGTGCATGATGCACAGCTGCTCGTGGTTCGACGATTGGGGAGAACGAGGCGGTAGTTGCAGCCACTGCAGCCACGCCTCTCGCACTTGGGGATGCTCGGGCAGGGCGTAGCCACGATAGAGGCGAGCACATGGACAGTTGGGCACCAGGCAGCCAATGCCATTTATTGAGTTGTGGCTACGATAAATGTTACTATCCGTATGGCCTAGGCGCAAGGTGGGCAACATTGCCTGCTCCTCGAAATGATCCTCGCACACATACGTCTGGTTGTGGCTCAAATTGGCAGGCAGCTTTAAATTGTGCAGCCACTTGCGCAGCAACAAACGATCTCTTGGCATGCGTCGCAGGTTAGCGGCATGCAGCTTCCATTCCTTTCTACAACTGGGCACGCAGCACACGCGCTTAGTCATCGCTGCTGGATTCGCTGTCGTCGTCGTCATCGTCGTTGGGAACGTTTCCGTCGTCATTGTCGTTGCCGTCGTCATTGTCGTTGGCGACTTTTCCGGCATTGTCGTCGTCGTTGTTGTCACCGCTGGCGTCGTTGGCATCGTCGTTGTCGCTAGCATCGTTGTCGTCGCTGGCGTCGTTGTCGTCGCTGGCGTCGTTGTCGTCGTTGGCGACGCTGTCGTCACTGTCGTCGTTGGCGTCGTTGGCGTCGCTGTCGTCGTCAACGAATCTTTCCTTTTGCGACAGTGTTTCAGGCTCCAAAGCCGAAAAACCGAATGCTGCTGTGATTGCGCATCATGGATGTCCGCAGCTTGGCCATTGCAACGATAGCTAAGGGGTGTATCATGGCCCAAATTCAAGGTGGGCACCGCGTTCTGCTTCAGCTTGCGCGTGCCTAACATCTCCGCCTCGAAGTGCTCAATGCAAACACGCCCAACACAGTCGTCGATATCTATTTGCAGGTTTACACTCCATTTGAACAGTTGCTGCGGATCCTTGGGAAAGCCGAAAGTGCTTAGCTGATGGGTAGCAGTACGCTCCTTACGGCAGTGCTTAAGGCAGCATATGGGCGTCACATTATTCACAGTTCTCTTCTGACGTCTCGGAGGAAGAGCTATTTGAATAGGTAGAGTATCGGGGAGCAACAGCTCATCATCGTTGCCGGGTATATCCTCCTCTTCCATATTGTCATCAACCTCGTCATCTTCGTTATTGTAGAGCTGTTCATCTTCGCTGTGCTGCTCTGCAAAAGTCTCTACAAGCTCCAAGGGATCAAAGTAGCCGTGCTCTTGCTGCTCCTCTTCTTCTGATTGATGATTGGTCTGCTCCTCGTCATCATCATCCTGTTCTTCTGTCTGCTCGTCGTTTGCCATTGACTGATCCTCCTCATTTAGTTCATTCTTCACCCTAACAAGCGAGTCCAAGCTGTTCGCCACCTCTCCACCTTCATACTCCTCCTCCTCCTCCTGCTGCAGGCCTGCCTTAATAGCCTCGTTGTCAAAGACTACGCCCTCATCGTGGCCCAGCTTCAGTGTCGGCACTGCCCCCGTCTTTAGCTTTAGCTTTCCACGCACCATGGGCTCAAAATGATCCGCACATATGCGACCGCGACATTGATCTGGTGCGAGGCGGAGATTCACACGCCACTTCTCAAGCAGCTCCTCATTGCGCGGATAGCGATAGGTGCGCAAATCATTGTCAATGCTCCGCCTTTTGCGGCAATGGGCCAACGCACAGGTGGGAGTAAAGAAGCCCGGGATGTTCTTTGGATTCTCATAGATGTTCGTCTCCTGGTGACCCAGCTGCAGTGTGGGCATGGCCCATCCTCTTAGCTGTTTGCCATCAATGCAGCGGCGATTGAAATGGGCGCTGCAAACACGTGTCGTCCTATCCACTTCGCCAGCTTTTAGTCGGAGATTATGACGCCACTTGTTCTGCTGTTGCTTGCCCGTGGGAAAGGGAAACAAACGGGCACCGCTTTCTACCCATTTGTTGCGTGGACAGCTGCGAACACAACACGTGAACTGGGGCGTGGATCGCTCGAACTTGACCTGGAGACATATATATATATTTGGTAATAAATTGAATACACAATCTGCGCTGAGCTACTCACCTGTCTAGTAAAGTGCTCCCCCTGTTTAATACCCACGCGCTGGTGCCGTCCAAACATATTGCTCTGCAGCTCATCGGGATTCACACGGTACAGGTCTTCCGTCTCGTCGTGTCCCAACTCCAGTGTAGGTATGGAGCCTAGGTTGAGGCGCGTCTTGCCGATGCATATGTCTTCGAAATGAGCATTACAAATCTTATAGCGCTCGCGCTCCTTGAAATTGAGATGGTTGAGTCGGAGATTGTGGCGCCAGCGCTCGAAGAGGGTCGGATCCTTGGGAAAGCTGTTCATTTGCACCTCATCGAATTTGCGAGTCTTGCCACAGGTGGGAACGCAGCACTTAAACACTGGGTCTACGTAGCGAGCTTCCGGCTTCGGATTCGATATCAGCTCAATCTGGACATCGTCGTGTCCAAGCATCAGCGTGGGAATGGCCCACTTGTAGAGATGCTTGGAACCGATACAATCGGGCTCGAAGTGCCTGTTGCAGATGCGCATGCCAATGCAATCAATTGGATTCATCTTCAGATTGTTGCACCACTTCCACAGCAGATCCTCGTCGTCGTTGGGGAACCGGAAGAGCCGCACATCCGGCTGATCCTTGGAGGCGTTACAGCCCTCGATAGCGCAGTGCTCCTCGACAAACGACTGCGCCTCATTCGGATAGATGTCGTCGTCCTGATGGCCCAGCTCGAGAGTCGGAATGGCGCCAGTGCTCAAGCGCTTGCCGTTGAACGAGTGCGTCTCAAAGTGCCGCGAGCAGATGCGGTACTGTTGTCGCATGGCACCGCGCGGTCGCATGCGTATGTTGTGCATCCACTTGCGCAGCTGGGTGGGGTTGTGGGGCAGCCGGAAGAGCTGGACACCCTGGCCACGCTGCCGACGACAGCTCTCCACAATGCAGACGCGTTGCATGCACAGCTTGTTTGCTTTGATCTTGGCTGGGTTTTGGTAAATCTTGTAACCTGGTGGAGTATTGAGATCGAGCGTAGGCACCGCTAGCGGCACTGGGCACTTCTTGCTAAGGACGTGAGACTCAAAGTGCGCGGAGCAGAGACGTCTCTGAGCACTTCCAACCATCGGAACTTGCAGATTGTGCGCCCACTTTGCCAACGTGGCGCGATTGAGTTTGGGAAACCGATATAGTTGGACGTTGTGCAAAGCGCGCACCTTGCGGCAGTGGGGCAGACAGCAGCGTGGCACCCAGGTGGGCTTGGTAATGCTTCCACCACTTCCTTCTCTTTGCCCGCTGAGATGGGAGGTGCGGCGCTTGTACAGCATCTGCTGCTCGGGGTTCTCAAAGAGATTCTCTATGTTAGTGGCAAGATTGAGCGTGGGTATGGCCCACGGACGCATTCGCTTGCCTATGCAGTGGGCTTCGAAGTGTAGATTGCAGATGCGCATGGAAGGCAGCTGAGCGATGTCTATCTGCAGATTGTGCGCCCATTTGGTCAGCACTTGGGACTCCTCCGGCGGTCGATAGAGCTTGATGTCATCCACGCTGGGATTGCGCTTACAGGTCTCCACACAGCATTCACCCTGTTCTTCGCCATTGTTTGGAGCACTTGGTCGAGCATAGAACTCGGCCACCTGCTCTGGAGTGGGAAGAGGATAGGGAATGTTATCGTGGCCGAGCATAAGAGTGGGCACTGCCCACTTCTCTAGCCGCTTATTACGTAAGCACCGTTCCTCGAAATGAACCTCGCAAATAGCATCGTTGAAGAGTTTGATCCCATCCGGAACAGTGCGCTGCAAATTGGCACACCATTTGGTTAGCAGCGCCACATTGCTGGGAAAACGATGCAGATTGGCGTGGTCCCGATCCCGATTGCGTTTGCACACTGCCACGCAACAGGTCTCGCGTATGTTCAGCTTCTTGATTACATCCGGATTGCGATGAATGTCCTCTTCATCGTGGCCCAAATGCAGCGTTGGCACCGCGAACGGACGCATGCAGCCGCCAATGCAATAGGGCTCGAAATGCAGACTGCATATGCGCATGCCCTTGTGCATCTTGTCCTCGGGTATACGCAGATTGTGACACCATTTGCGCATCTGCTCCGGGCGCCTAGGTATCGTATGGAATGTGATGTTCTCATTGTTGTGTCGCTTGCTTTCGCAGCTGGGCACACAGCAGACGTCCATGCTGTCGCTCACATTCAGTCCAGAGGTTGAATTGCCAGAGCCCATGCCCATGGCCATGTAGGAGGCACTTAGCTCCGGATCCACATAGTGGGATGTAGAGCTGGCCGACGAGGAAGTGGACGCAGCAGAGTGCCTCTGGTATTTGTGATGAATCTGCTGCTGCGGCAGCTGCTGTTGATGCTGCTGCATGTGGTGTTGTTGCAGCTGTTGCTGCTGATGATGATTATGATGGGTGGGCGTCGAGGCCGTCGGAGGAGGCCACAGTTCATTTTCGTAGATGTTGAAGGTGTCACTGTGGCCCAGGTGTAGAGTTGGCACAGCGCCTGTAAATGTAAATGTAAATGTAAATGTATTAATTTAAATGTAAATGTAAATGTATTAATTTAAATGCTAATTTAAATATAAAGGCTACGAGTATAAAGAATATTCAACAAGTCATTGAATATCAATTTTCAGATAATAAACATATTCATTGATTTGTGCCAATTTGTTTATTTATTACAGCGATTCTGGATGATAAGCGGACCATGTCATTGCATTCAATATTTGTATCATTAATTTTCTAGAATTAGTACTCAATTTGCTCATGTTGTAAAACGAATTCATTCACTCAAAGGTAAACTGAGGTTTTAGCATATAAATAATTTATTAATTACTTGCTTACCTGGCGACAATTTCCGTAAGCCGAGGGCTTCCTTAATGAAGTGAGCGCTGCAAATTTTGTGATTTTTCCCACGATACACTGCCGGATCGAGTCTCAAGTTATAGCACCAGCGACGCAGCAATACCTCATCTCTGGGGAACCGGTAAAGCGACATGTTGAAGTCCGAGGAGCGACTGCGGCGACAAAAGTTCAGGCAGCAACGTTTCTCCTCAACATACAGATTCTTCGGATTGTCATGAATCTTGCCATACTGAGCTCCCAAATGGAGCGTAGGTACAGCCCAGGGTTTCAGTCGGAATTTGCCAATGCAACGCTCCTCGAAGTGCCGACTGCAGAAGTGACGCGGCTCTTTGGCCTGGACGGGCAGACGTGCGTTCTGGCACCATTTGATCAGACTCTTGATGTCTTTCGGAAAATTGTAAAACTTGAGATTACTTTCGCCACGCTGGCTCGTGCAATTGGGCATGCTGCACCGAGCCACCTCTCCGGTGGTAAATGTGTTGGTCAACTCTCGATTCTGATACAAATTTGCGACATCGTCGTGGCCCAGGTTGAACGTAGGCACTGCCCAATAGCACAACGAATAGCGATTTATGCAACGCTTCGGAAAATGCATGCTACAAATGCGAAAGCTGACATAGCTCGACGCAGGTATGTGAAACATTTTGAGATTGTGCAGCCATTGATGCAGATACTTCTCGTCCTTGGGAAACGTGAAGAACTGCAGAGTAGGGCTGGTGCTTTTGCGCACTCCACACAATGGTACGCAGCACAGCGCATCTTCCGATTCATCCAGCGTGGAGGAATGTGCCTGCGGTCCACCGATTGCAACACCACTCGCATGCAGCGAGTTGTCACTCCCATATGCATTGTTGTAGCCGCTGTTCTCGTGCATGCTATATCCGGACTCGCTGGTCGAGTTGCTGTAGCTTCGCTCCAGCTTAACACTCGGCTCGTTCTTTAAGGAAGAGGCAAAGAGGGAGGCGCCACCATCAGCATTCGCTTGACGCTGATGTAGCAAGGAACTAAGCGCCGCCGTGGCAGGCAGCGCATTTGCTTTATGCTGAGACGCAGTCACTGCAGAGCAAGAACATTACTATAAGCGCAAAACAGTCGGAGTAACCAAGACTTACTCTCTATCGTTCCCATGTGGCAATCCTGCAGTTTGTAGTTGCTCTGCTCCGACAGCTGCTGGTGCTGCTGTTGCTGATGTGCTGCTGCATAGTACTTGCCGCAAAAGTATGGGGCCGCTAGGCGATGCTCGTGCAACTCGAGCGCGGTTTGATACCATAAGCGGCAAATCGGGCAATCGAAGCGCTGCTGAAACTTGTGCTGCGGCAAATGGGCGTAAAGCTGTTCGCGCGTAGGAAATGTCATTGAGCACATCTGCAAATGATAAATTATAATTAGTGTAGGTTTCCTCGTATAGAAATTATGGGTTTCTCCCTTCTTACATTGCAAACAAAGCTGTCGTAGTCGTGTTCCATGTACTCGTGCGACTCGCAATCGGCAATATTGTCAAAGTACTTGCCACAGTATTTGTGACAGAAGAACTTGTCAGCGCGGTGCAGTTGCTTGTGCTTCTGTATATCCTCGGCGCCCATGAAGGACATGGGACAGATGTTGCACTTGTAGTCGTACTCTTGGATCGTGCAACTGCTCTCGGCCACATGCCGCAAATAGATTTGTTTCTTAAAGAACACCTCCTTGCAGCGTTGGCAGATGGGCAGGCTTTCCGAGGAACGTTCCGTTTGCAGCTTTCGGCGAGGAAAGCTGAGCGGATTCTATAATACAAAAGAACATTATATAATAATATATATTTTTATTCTTTTACAGCTCACCTTTTGGTTGCCATAGGCATCATCCTTTACAGTTAGCTCCACCTTTGGACTCAGCATTTCGTCGCCGAATTCGGGAAATTTGTTAAAATCGGCAAAGGGCGTATTATCATCAATATAGTTGGACTTAAACACATGTTCCTCAATGGGTTCCGCTGCCAAAACAAAATTAATATAAACAATTTTTTATTAATATATTGAATACATTTATTATCGCAGTTCTTTATCAAACTGATTTCACTCTGCTGACTTTGATGTGCTTTAATGAAATTTATTTTAATTTTAGAAATCTATTTTTACAAGTTTATCGGCACAAATCTTATGTTCAAAATAGAAAATGGAAAAAATATAATAATTTCTAATTTCTCCATATTTATCTATATGTAATTATATTTAATATTATATTTTCAAACGATAATTGTCACTTTTCTTCTTTTTACTATGTTCAAATTTTATTTTTTTTATATCTTGGAAAAAAGAAGAATATGGTGGGAGGGGAGTATGATCAATTAAGATTGAAAAATTCACTATGAACTCACAGAGAAATGTCTTGGAGATTTTTTTTTTTTCATGTTGTATAATTCATAGCATATATAGCATATAGCATATATTGCTAAAAATAGTCAAACTGATGAATGAATGTAAAACAACAAAAATTTGCATCACGAATTTAATAAAAGTTAATACAAAATTGATTTATAATAAAAATGGAGTTAATAAGATTTCTTCTTTTAACCACTGAAAATATACAGACATATGTATGTATGCACATATGTTTGCCTTCGTGAATATGCATGTGTATGTAAGGAATATTTACACTTTGTATGTATAAGTATCTTCTAGAAAAGTTTCAGTTTCTATGGTTTTACGTGTGCATTCATTTTGTTAGTTTGTTTCAATTGTTCTCGCTTCTTTGATAAGCATGAATGCAGAGATAACAGAAGCGAGAATTTTTCTTTTTTCTTTCCTACACACATAAATCTATACATATATGAGAAAATATTTCTTAGTTTTCCAGAAATGTTTTTAACAAAATTGTAAAAAAAATTGGATTAACATTTTTATTTACAATTGAGACCCCGCCCTATTAGGCAGGTATGTGTTCATAGGTTATAAAATACTTGGGAACCTAAGAGTTACATAAGATTCGAGACTTAAAAGTGAGAATTAACAAATATACATTAACGCACACATAACCAATATAAAGTCTATTAATGTTGGATTGGAGACAGGGTACATAACTATTAGGATTATACCCGGTAATTTGACGTATCTATTCAGCTGAGCTTATGTGACGATGGTATATGTATATATTGTAGGTGCCTAAAATATATATCGACTAGATAGATACATACACAGAGCAAAAACCGACTAAAGCACTCCGAAACAAAGGTACAGATACGGAGGCGAACAAAACAAAACCGAAAATTGAAAACCTAGCGAACCTACCGAAAAACAACCGACCGAAACAACCGCTAAAAGTCTCAGCGTAACTCAACTCTGTAACCAAACGCTTTATTGATTCGGCGACGCCAAAAGCGGAGCTGAAATTACTGCTACTTACGCTATACGACAAAATATATGGGCGCCCAAGTAACAGTAACTGGGAGCGCACTCTCTCTCCCTCTCTCTCATTCGCACTCAATCACTTACACTCTCAGTTTTGTTTTTGTTACACTCTGACTATATGAGTGTGTCTGTACCAATTAGATATGGTGGTATGCATATTTACGAGCACGAAACACGATTTCAATAATTTGCGCGGCACGAATGACTCTTATATTGAATAAATATTCATCTTTTCGTAGCCGAATTGATTGATGAGATTGTCACATTAATCAAAATTGCAATAAGAGAATCAATTTTACTTCTTAATTAGTAGTTGATATTAGTGTATTAAAAAGTGATTCAATAGTCAATGTTTCTAAACATAAAAATTAAACTTACTATATCAAATTATATACAATTGAAATTGGCTCTAAATATTTCGTGTCGTGACATAAATGCCAAATATGATCTCATCTCTATGCCCCGTTCTAGAACTAATGGCTTATTACAGCTAGTATATTTGCATGGCTGTGTGCGTATGTGGATATCGATATCCCTAAGGCTCGATACTTACATTTTATTATCATTTCGCCGCTAGCATCAAGCGTGTGGCGATTGGAGGCGGGTGCTGGCGGCGGGGCCATTGGATTTTGAAAATGTTGTTGTAGGTGCTGCTGTTGCTGTTGCTGTTGTTGCTGCTGTTGCTGCGTTTGATGTTGTTGATGGCGTTGTCTTTCGTCGGGCAGCTCCAATGGCTCGCTCTTAATATATGGATAGGAGCTGTGCATTATGCTGTGCGGCATATACGAGCGTTGACTGGTGTGCTGTTGGTGCTGCTGTTGTTGTTGTTCTTGCTGGTATTGCAGCAGCTGGTTGTGCGCATAGGCCACAGTATTAGCTTCAAGGTTATATCCCACCCCCGCAGCAGCAGTAGCCGTAGCAGCCCCGTAATAGTGCGTCCCACCCGCTTCGTAAGCATTCATAATGTTATTGTTGTTGTTGTGATTGTTGTTGTTGCTGCTCTTGCAAGGTGTCGCATACGGGTGCGGCTGTTGGGGCGGGTAGGAAGCAACATGTGAGTACCAACTGTGCTGCTGTATTTGTTTATGTTGTAAATGCTGATGCTGCTGGTGCTGTTGCTGTTGTTGCTGTAGCTGATGTTGCTGGTGCTGCTGCTGCTGCTGATAGTAGTGGAGATGTTGTTGATGCTGATGCGAATGCGGTTGATTATTGTGTTGTGACATTACGTTAGAGATAATGTCGTGTCTTTGATTTTGGGCAAATTTTCGTTTTACCAATGCAATTGGCTATTAGCAAAAAATAATACCCGAAGTATACTACTACTGTTTTATCTCTCTCGCTCGCGCGCGCTGTCTTTTTCATTTGGCGTCGTCTTTTATATACCAGTTTTTCAGTGTTCTGCCCCCTTCGCAGATATGTTTGCATGTATGTATGTTTGTGTATGTATCGAAATGTCAATTATATTTATTCACAGTTAAGTTGATCTCAAGCCAATTGGACATATTTTTCACTATTTAGCGATTGATCACCAATTGGAACTTACATTGAGCGCGAGCATAGAATTTTTCAACATTTTTTCGTTCGTTTCGTAGATTTAGCGCGACGCGACACAACAAACTCCTGCGTGCATGCATATGTGTATATTTGCAAGTGTGTGTGTCGTGTGGTTACCGTAGTGATGTGAAAATCGCTAGGTGGCGCATTAATCTTCGATGTTTTCTATCGTACTATCGAAATGAACAAAAATCGCTACAAAGTTATAAGTTTATTCAACGTTTATTTGAATTATTAACTTTATAATTATGGAACTTATTAACAAAATAATGTTGTTATCGATTAGTAGGTATCGTCGAAGATCCCGTAAAAAATATAAAATTTCAGTATTATATAGATATTTTATATGATTCGAATTTTTCACGAGTAGAAACAATAAAAATGATTTTTTTCTATATATATTTTTTTTTCTGCTAAACTACAAAGTTGGCTTTCATTATGTTACTTTGGGACCTATAACGCCCACTCGTTGCTTCAACTGCTCTTTGAGCAGTTTAGAGTCTGTGATCAGTTGCTCTTCCGCCAGTTCATCGAGGGTTCCACGCAGCTTTTGCTTTACTTGATTAATGCGCCCTGAGTTTTTAGCAGATATAGGTAATATATGCTTAAATCTAATCACTCTATTTGGACGCAGTTCATCGGGACAGGCGGATAGACTACTGTTCAAGTCTGTAAGACATGGCTTTAGATTTAATAGCAACTCCTGAGCCCCTTCCTTGTCCATTTTGTTGATCAACAACACGCAGGGTTTCTCTAACAATTCAGGATCGTATAGCTCCAGCTCCTTGTTCAGTGCATAAATGTTGCTCAGGCAATCGCGATGTGCGTGGCGCGGACTCAGCTGAAAGCCGAAAATATCCACCATGAAGAGCAGCAGGCGAGTGCGCTCAATGTGCTTCAGGAACTTGTGACCCATGCCAAAGTTGGCATGTGCCCCTTCTATCAGACCAGGAAGATCGGCAATAGTTATGGAACGTAGGTCGGCGTACTCCACGGTTCCGACCTGTGGCCGAATCGTGGTGACTGCAAAGGGAAGCAAATGATTTAGTAATTGAAACTGCAGGAACATCAATGCATACATGGATACGCTGCTATCTTGGGTTTCGCATTAGATATAGCCTTCAGCAGCGTGCTCTTGCCAGCATTGGGAAACCCAACCAAACCCACGTCTGCAATTAACTTGAGATCTAGCTGCACCGTGCGACTTTCTCCTGGCCTACCGATGAAATTGTTGCCTACGCAGCCGCCTGTGCCTCCGCCCGCCACAATGCAGCTAGAATCGGGTTCGTTGAGATCCGCAAGCAATTTCTGCTGCTGCTCATCGTACACCTGAACACCCAGTGGCACCTCTATTCTTTGATCCATGCCACGTTTTCCATATATGCTCACTTTGCTGCTGTCCTCGCCATTAGTCGCCTGAACGCGCTTTTCTCTTAGATTTTGTGCTACTTTCCGCAATGTTAGTCCCTCCTTGGCCACAAAGTAGACGCAGCCACCCTGCCCACCAACTCCGCCATATTTGGGTAAGCCATTTCCACCATGTCCGCCGCGTACCGTCAGACGCAAAGTGTCCAAGAAGTTGCAACGAAAATGTGCTCGCGCAGGCTACACAAGAAATTATCATTAATTTCATTTTAATTTAATATTTAATTACAAACCGTTTTTGTGGATTTCAGCAGGAACTTAAACAGTTGCACCATCGCGAACAGCTGATCAGTAACTGTGGACTAGTATGCTGGTAACAGTAGCTGTGTGCTGACATAAGCTTCAATAATTGCAATAGTTTGTTCAAGCAGACAATTAAATTACATTTTCATTTAATTATGTATTGTGTATTAAATAAAAATAGCATTTAACTTGTTGAGCAGCAACTGGAAGCGATACATTTTTCTGAACGTCATCGATAAAAACAGCTGATTGAGCACATGTTTGCTTGTTGTTTTCGTTGAACAACTGTAGCGCAATTGGCGCATCTCTAATTGGTACTAAAGTATTTCTTATATTTCATTTTTAGAACACTCACGCGTGTGTGAAATGGAACCGTGGATTTGCTACATTAAGCCGGAGTAAGTGATATCTGTGTGCGCTTTCAAGCCTGAAATATAAGTTAGATTTGTTATTAAAATAGGTATTTGTTAGCCGAAGCTAATGGTGCCCACAACTGGGAAGTAAATGCATCCACTGATGGAGAAACAAACAAAAGAAAACACCTAGAGAATGAGGAAACGACAAACGAGCCACAGAGCAAGCGTGGAAGTGGCAAAAAAGAGCGCAAACGTGGCCAGAATAAAGTAAACATTTATTTCACATTTGGTTATCGTTGTATAAAAGAGTTTTCCATTAGAATCGACCCGTGTTCAAAGATGAGCGCTACTCGCATTTGTGCCACTCGCTCATAGATGGCGCTGGTGGTGAGCCCTGCAGTGTGCCGAATTGCCGTTATGTGCATGATCTGAACGCATTTATAGCAGCCAAAGGTGAGGATTTGGGTGAGCAATGCTACGTGTATGACACCAAGGGATATTGTGCACGTGGCATAACATGCCGTTTTGCCAAAGCCCACACAGATGAAAACGGACGAAATATGAAGAGGCCAAATTACGATGAAAAAGCCGCGCAGACTACGTACAATGGCATCAACTCAGGTAAAGTGTAATTGAAGTGAAGATGTAAATCGTGGTAATGATATATATTGTTTAATCAGAACTGCAGGTACGTCTACGCAAGCATGACTACGATTTTAGTCGTAGCAAAGAGTTGATCAAGAAGGCGGAAAAGCTCAGAGATGAAAGGAAGAAAGATCATCAGCAGCAAGAGGAGGAGGTGCAGGACAAAGACAAAGAGGAACAGAACAGCGGGAAAGAACGCCAGCAGCAGGATGCAGCACCTATAGAGAACAAAGAATCGACAGAGAACCAGTCATTGGCAAACAAGCCCATTGGCAGTGCTATAGATGAAACAACAAATGGACGCGATGCGCAACGAAAGCCTGTCATCGATTTTCGAGAGAAGCTGTTGCTCTCCCCGCTGACCACAGTGGGCAATTTGCCATTTCGTCGCATCTGCAAGGAGTTCGGGGCAGACATCACCTGTGGGGAGATGGCATGCGCTGTGCCGCTGCTCAAGGGTCTCGGGCAGGAATGGGCGCTGACCAAGCGTCATGAGAGCGAGAACGTGTTTGGCGTGCAGCTGTGTGGCAACAACCCGAATGTGATTAGCCAGGCGGCGCAAGTGTTGCACGAAACATCGCGGGTGGACTTTATTGATCTTAATATAGGCTGTCCCATTGACCTCATTTACCAACAGGGCGGAGGCAGTGCACTGATGCACCGTACCAATATCCTGGAACTGACTGTGCGCAGCTGCTCGGCGCTGTCCGATCGGCTGCCTTTCACTGTGAAAATGCGCACAGGGGTCTATGCGGACAAGAGTGTGGCCCACGAGCTGCTGCCTCTGGTGGAGGAATGGGGCGCCTCGGCTGTTACCTTGCACGGACGTTCGAGGGAGCAGCGATACACGCGCCAAGCCAACTGGACGTACATTGAGGAGTGCGCCAAGCAAGCAAAGCATATACCCGTGATTGGGAATGGCGACATTCTGAGCTATGAGGACTACGTAGAGCGACGAGCTTTGGCTCCGCATGTTAGCTCTGTGATGATAGGACGCGGTGCGTTAATTAAGCCTTGGATCTTCCAGGAGATCAAAGAGCAAAAAGCATGCTCACCCAGCTCTACGCAACGGTTCGAAATGATGCGGCGCTATTGCAACTACGGACTGGAACACTGGGGCTCTGATACTAAGGGCGTGGAGAGCACCCGACGCTTTCTGCTCGAATGGCAATCGTTCCTTTACCGCTACATACCAGAGGAGCTGCAGCTGTCGCCGCCACAGAAAATCAATGCCAGGCCACAAAAGTATCGCGGACGCGATGAAATGGAGACACTGATGAGCTCCGGCAACGCCTCTGACTGGGTGCGACTCAGTGAAATGCTGCTCGGCCCGGTACCTCACGGATTTAGCTTTGTGCCCAAGCACAAGGCGAATGCTTTCTAAGAATAACTGTTCCCCATCAGCTGTTAACTAATAATTTTTGCTACGTATTAAATATATGTACATACATATGTGTTTAGCTATACCATGAAAAAGGAATCTTTTTACAATTTTAGATGAATAGGATTAAATTTAATGTAATCATGAGATGTTCACTAACATAACTGGTTGCATGCAACTTTTTCTCCATAGTATGGGCTTTGTTAATATAAGGAGAAGAATTTGTAATACATCGATCGACTATTTGAACTGTGTTTTGTAACAATTGCTGATTATCACGAGTCTTCCGGTTGTGAATATGAATTTCAGTCTATCGATAAAGTTACGAAAATTTATAACTTTAATAGAGTTCTGGCTAGCCATACTCTGTAATTTTCTCAAAATAACGTACTTTCAACCCGAATTATACCCACTATGGGTATAATAAGTGAATGTGATTGCAAAAAGTATACATGTATACAAAACTCAAGAGATTGACATTGGCTTAATTTAAATATACTTACTTATATACAAAGCTGTATACTAACATCCTGCCTTATGCTTTTACATCAGCTTTGCTCTGCAGATTTTTCAATCTCATTTTATATGTAGCATAGCCCATCCAATTCCCTGTATTTGCTTCGAATACAAGATTTAAAAAAATTTATTCAGACACATAAAAAAAACGAGAATCACTTCAAGTAGCTAAGCGCCTCCTCCACATCAGCTTTGGAGCCCAGGAAGATGGGGCTGCGCTCGTGAATTTTCTGTGGAACAATATCCAGTATGCTGATCTTGCCATTGCTGGCCAGACCGCCAGCCAGGATCATGAGATAAGCCATGGGATTGCACTCATAGAGCAGACGGAGCTTGCCATTGGGCGACGACTTGGTGGCCGGATAGATGAAGATGCCGCCGTATTTGATAGTGCGGTGCACATCGGCCACCATCGAGCCGACGTAGCGAGCGCCGTACGGCTTGCCTTTGGCGGGATCCTTCTTTGCAGCAATGTAGTTGTAAACGCCCTGATCCCAGTCGGAGGCATAGCCCTCATTAATCGAATAGATCTTGCCCTTGTTGGGCACACGCATATTGGGATCGGTCAGAATGAACTCGCCAATGGCCGGATCGTAGGTGAAGCCGTTCACACTGCTGCCCAGACCCAGGACAATGGCTGTCGCAGAGCCGTAGAGTGCATAGCCGGCAGCAACGAGCTGGTTGCCCGGCTGCAGTGCATCCTGGACGGTGGGCACTCCCGTGCTCCTCTTCCGATAAATGGCAAAAATGGAGCCTATCGAGACGAGACAGTCAATGTTGGAGGAACCATCCAGCGGATCGAAGCAAACTATATATTTTCCCTGTAAACGAATGCGATCAAGTTATGGGATCCTCTAGATAAATATATCTCACTTACCTGGCGTTCCGTTTCCACCTCGATCACATTCTCGTTCTCCTCGGAGACCATAAGGCACGTAGTGTAGGACGACTTGAGCATGTTGATGAACAGCTCATTCGACAGCACATCCAACTTCTTTACCTCCTCTCCCTGAACATTGACATCGCCAGCGATTCCGTGCAGCTTGGCTATGCCAGCCTTCCGCACTGCGGATGCAGTCGCCTTGATGGCCGTCTGTATGCAATTGAGCAGCTGGGACAGATCTCCAGTCGCTTCCTTGAACTTGCGCTGTTCCTGGAGCACGAAGCGTGTCAGCGTCATCGCATTCGAGTCGAAGGCGGGTCCCTGCTGCGTCATTTTGGCTGCCGGAAGTCGGAGGGATGGAGAGAATAAATGTTAGGCGCAATTCTCTTCCTAAGGATCGAGCAATAGCAATATGTGTTTACAAGTATTAAGTTGGCAGGTTACTTAAGTAGCGTCTACCAGGCTGAGCTAGCTAATGAAATACTGTGGGTCTACTAAAATATATAATTTCCATAAGATCTATCTGTTCGAATTATTAATTTGTGACATTACATTAAGTGAAGTGAAGTAAATGAAAGGAATCAAAGGAAAAATATATTGTACCTATAAATAGAATCGAACAGACTAATTCTATTACATGCGCTAAAAATATATATTTCATTATTTATATGGAACACTTTAAGTAATCTATTTTTAGGACTGGGATCAGCTGTGATATTTGCAAGAAATACAAATTTTCTTTTTCTAAAGTTATTTCTGAGAATCTGAGAGAGCTTGAGAGTTTTTTAAGTTTTATTTTATTTTTTTAATTTTACTCATAAAAAATGATTCTATATGTACATAACTATAATGTTTTATTATTTGTATTTGTATAAGATGTATTGCTATTGCTCAAGCCTTGATTATAGATCAAGAAATATATATATGAAATAGGCATATATTATATAAGCACAAGCATGTATAATTAGTTTGCCAATCAAGTTGTAGTAATAACATAGAGTAAATAAATTGTGGAATTATCAGTTTTAAATTCTACTTAGAGTTAAGGGTTAGGTTTTTGGGGACATGCTCTAGAATAGAAAGCAAAATTCATAGAGTACAGGACTAACTTCGAATCATAATTTTCACAGCTAGTTGGGTTAGTTAGTTGGGTTGAGCTGGGGTACTAGTTATGCAAGTTATAATAATTGAAAACTTGTGGTGCAATTAAGAGGGTAAACAGTCAATAGGCAGGCAGTCACGCAGGCAGGAGGCTAAGGAGCGAAGGAGGAACTGGTACTGGTGCTGGTGCTGGTAGAGGAAAAGCAGTGCGAGTCTTTTAATTATTCAACTTACAATCGCCGTTGCTGGCCGCCATGGTTGGGTCGTATAAAGTGTATATATGTGTATATATATATGATGCGGTTCCTGTGGTTCTTTAAAAACAACGACAATAATGTCGTACACAAAAATTTAATGCCAGACCAAAATAACAGTGTGAAGGTCAAATGGGAGCCCAGTAGAAATACGAGAGATTGGGAAGCTGGCGTGAAAACTTATCAAAAACTCGTCAGACTCGCCCGATGTGATTTTTGTTTTTATTGTTTCGGCTGGCACTGATAACCTGTTTATACTATTTGGTCTGCATGCACGACTATATACATGTATAATGATATATGTATATACATATGTATGCATATAGCCCGATGTATTTAAACAGAAACCGGAACAAGCGAAAGGTCTTTTTCTTTAAATTTTTTTTTTTTTTTTTCAATTTCTGAGAGCTGGGACACGTGCCCCTAATTTAAATTTGGCAATAGCGTAGGAAAAACACATGATTTGATTTAGCTATGGCATACATATGTAGCTATATATATAACATATATAAATACATATATGTACATATGTTGCTACGTACGCAAGCTTTTGGTATCGCCCACTTGGCTATAACTTTGCTTTGACCCTCGCCGATGCCGGCAAACCAAAATTTGTAGTGCTTCCTCAAGTATATAATCATGTACATACATACATATATATGTGTATGTATATACTTATATGTATGTATGTATATGTTACGCATTATGTGGGATAGAACTTTCACTTACAGCGCAGGCAACAATAAACGTAGCGATCAAAACAGAAGACGAATGAAGGTGCGAGGAAACAGTTAAAGAACCGCACTCGATGGCTGTGCTGCAGAGACTGAGAGACGTCGACTTTCAGCTGGCGCTAGGAGCGAGAATAGGAATGGGCAACGATTGCAGTGACACAAAGCATACAAGAAAATAAGCAAAAGAGTGTGTATGCGTGACTAGGAAATACACTCTACTTGATCAGATATGTATATCATTATTGTATTTTATTGATCTACTGTTCAACATTAGAACTAATATAAAATTAAAACTAACTTAAAAATTGAGCACTCGCAACTGGAACCTTCGGCTTGACCATTTATAGCATGGTGTAATATAGCGGCGTTCTTATATTAAGTCTGTAAATCCAGTGAGCATGTTGAGCAATTCAATTGCTTATTATGTTTTCCAGCTGATCACCCCATATGCTCCATTGCCTAACTAGCGTAGGGTATTGCAAGCAGACAACACGTCAATGTACGCTTAAATAGCGGCAGACTGTGAGAGAGTGGGAGCGAGAGAGCGAAACAGATGGAGAGAATGGCGAAAAGGGAGCAGACGGAGACAAACACGGAGCGCGCCATGCCCCCAGCTTACAAATATACATATGCATATTCATCTACATATATGCATTTATTTGAATGTATATACATATGTATGTATATTGTGCATGCTGATTGAGCTAATGAGCAGAGTTGTCCAACGCACAGAAGAGGGCGTGAGTGAGTACGACGACAACATCGAGCATAACTGAGGAGATACTGTTCAAGTTATAAATATATACATACATAAACATGTACATACATATGTGTTTGCTTAGCAAAAGCTGTAGCTGGATTTAAATTGAAAGACAACTGTTTTACTTATGACCCGCTGTTATCAGCCGCTATAAGCGGCGCGAAATTTAAGTAATGTTTTAATCAAGTAATTTTCCAAAGTCGCTAGGAACGCTTTACAACTCATCATACTGTACCAATTTTACTCAAGGGCGCGTATTTCTTCAAAGTTATCCGGCATATACCAGTCGCCCATTTTATGTTTTTCATAGAAGTAATAGTTCAATTGATTTCTAACTTTGTTTGAATTTAATGAAAAAAAAAAAACCATACAAATGATGAGTTGTAAAGCATTCCTAGCATTTCAAAGTTGAATCGATTTTCGAGATCCATTTATGATATTTTTGATACTCTTGCGATTAACTCAAATATTAATACAAATATAGATAGACATGAACAGATTGAGTATATATATATGTACATATGTTATGTTTATAGACCTTATATATCAAATAGAGTACATCCAGAAATCAGTTCTTTATTACCGCCAGCTGATTCCAGTGGAGGCACGACTTCTATTTAACTTTTGATAACATCCATATTTAGAGATAGCGTAAGTTCCCTATATGTATGTATATGTAACTGTATGTATATAGTTACAGGCATACTTTTCGTTTGGTTTTCTAACATACCTACATATGTACATATATATGAATGTGTTGCCCTCTCGGTTTGTCATTGCGACGACCTTTACTCGTTTTTCATACATACATACTTTTCACTGATATGAGCATGAATAACTCTCGATTTTAGTTTATATGGAACTGATTACAAATAGTTCAAAAAAGACAGGCGAGTAAAAATAAATTAAATCACGCGCATATATGTGAAACCACATATATAAAATAAATATATGTATTTGAATATTATAATGTAGGGTACCTTGTCACGTCACGAAAAAATAATGTATATTTGTGTTTTGGAATGAATATGAATTTTTGAAAGAAATATAAAGCTGATCGATTCGATAGGTTGAAAACTTTAAGGGATAATAACTCCCTTTCTATACAATTGTAGTCATACAATTAATAGTGAAATAATGAGACTGATCCCAGTTACTGGACAACAAATTTGAATGATAAATAAATATTTTAAACATAACATTTAACATTAGATTATGTTTTGTAAACACAGCTGAAAAATTAGATACATGTAAGTTAAAATACTATATAGTATATGGCTGTGTTCATGAAAATAGTTTTCATATATTTTGATCCTTATATATTTCTTTCCTTTCTCCATTTCAGATAATTTTGATGATGTATATATACGCTTATATGACTTCAGAGGAGGAAAAGCTTCAGCTGTTATCATCCCACTTAATCGCAGGCGGATGACTAGCTATTAAAATCTACTTACCTTAACGCCAAGCATATGGGGGTGTTCACTCCGGGAACTGGTTCTCTATGGTTGCTCATGCAATCACAGCTCAATTGAAAGTATTCAAAAAGTATTTCACTGTTTGAGTTGTTTGAGCCGAGTCGCGACAAAGTGTTTCCCTAAATGGCTTGCTAATAACCCGCAATTATTTTGCCATTGTTGAGAGCACTTCAACATATTCCACCCCCAGGAAGCAGAGCCACGTCTGTGGGCGTGCCCGTGACTTCAACCCTATGAAAATGTCACAGTTTAACCTGATTAGTGCCTACTTTTTGTTGTTGGCCGTCAATTGGATTTGATTACCCGTCGGAACTCGAGAAACTTTTTTTTTAATTGTTAATTTTTCACATGATTTTTTATTGAAAGCGTTAAAACTAAGCCGTCTAGCACATAAATATACATCTACAAAGAGAGTTATGTACTCTAAGAAAGACAGAGTGAGAGAAAGAGAAAGAGAGAGAGAAAGAGAGTGAGAGACATCTTAAATGGAAGTACTCGAATAAAATCACTAGCTGTATTTGGTGATACTTTAATATATATGTATATATGTGTGTGTGTATGTATGTGTATATTTTGCTTAGATTTAACTGTGACTAGGCTTGCGCCCAATTGGAAAGTCCTTATTGTGGTTGCTATTTACAGAGTTTGATAACTTGAAAGTTGTATAGACCCGATATAGTCTGTCTAATGTGCAAAAAATGCCATATACCCAAAATCCAGGTAAAGAGCCGAAAATTGTTAATTTGTAAAGAAAATGCATAATGAATTCAAGGATAAAAGATTATAAGTACTTAACGTTATGTTTAAAAATACCAACAATTAAAACAAAGAAAAATCTTTAAAAAGAACAATTATATACAAATATATTAAGGTGAAGTATTGAACGGATAAAATCAATAAATACAAAAAGATATGAAAGTACAATTTTTCGAAATTTTAAATCCGATGGTAATTTCAAACTTTTGTAATCTGGTAATTTTTTGTTTTTAGTAGTTATTACAAGTTTTTTATATATATATTTTTGTTCGTATCGAACAAGAACAGAAACGTTAAATAATTTAACAAAAATGCCAGAAGAAACTATAAAGGAGATAAAATAATACAAAGTATTTGGTATACATATATTAATTTCTATCTGTTTGCTAATAAATGTGGTATTTTTAAAATATTTTGGTATTTTTCGCACACGTTAAGTCTATGAATGGACAACTGTTTACACGCCTGCGTCCTATGTGAGCTGATAGAGCTTCGTGTCGCCCACAATATCCACATCGCTGGAATTATCATCATCCTCGCTGTCCGCCTCCAGGTCGGAGTAGTCATCCGTGGAGTAGCCATGCTGCAGGAAGCACATTTGCAGCTGCTGCTGACTTGATGTCTGGCCCAGCTTGGCCTTGGCGTCCGTGGCTGCTGCTGGGGGGCTGTGGGGCTCGCCCTGCTGCTTGCCGCCTGACTCGGTGCGTGAGAAGTCAACGGGTTCTGTGGGCCAGAAATTGCCAAAAATTTTACAACTAATTTGATTAGGGGCCAAATAAAAGTTGAGGAAAAGTTTCGTCAAAAGGAGTTCCAGGCTAATTGGCCAAAGAAACTTCTAAAAAGGCCAAAAGTTGGTCCCAAGACTGAGAGACTTCCACTTTGGCTTCTTCTTCTTCTTCACTTACCATTGGCAGTGTCGCGTCGTCGCAGCTGTTTCTTGTGCTTCATGCGACGATTCTGGAACCAGGTCTTAACCTGCGTCTCGCTCAGCCCCAGAGCCGTGGCCAGCTCTACGCGCTCTGGCGTCGACAGATACCGTTGCGCCTCGAAGCGCTTCTCCAGCCCCGACAGCTGCGGGTCGCTGAAGACGGTGCGCGCCTTACGGCGCCGGCAGTGCCTCAGCGCATTCACGCCCATGCCCAGGCCGAGGGCCAGCTCCGGCACACAGCCGGGCGCGCCGAAGAAGGGCGCTCCTCCAAACAAGCTGGCTGCAAGAAGTGGGTGGCACACATTAATTGCATTACACGCCGACATAGAGCCCTTTGTGCCGGGCACAACTTTTGGGACATTCGGGTGTCGCTAATGGCCATCGACACGCACAGGAACAGCAGACATACCTTGGGACAGAAAGTAGGGATCCACCGACTTGTACGTGCCCGACGACGGCGACAAATAGCCGAGGGTCATCTGCAAGAAGCCATGATCGCCATACCCAGCGTTTGGATAAAGCACACTATTCGGGGCACTCGCTGCTGGCGGAGGCGGAGGCGGTGCTGTAGGTGCTGCAGTCGCCGCTGCTGCTGCTGCTGCTGTCATCTGTTGCACACTTGGCTCTCCGGCTGGCCCCGAGCTCGAGTGGCCGTAGTGGGCGGCTGCTGACCTTTGCTGATGTGCACTGCAGTTGTGAAACGTGAGTTAAGCGCTAAGAACTAAATCGGGTACGATGTCTATAAAGCTAATTTCTCCAAGAGTGTATATGAGAACATCGGAATCACGAGGAACGCTGTTTTAATTGGGAATTTCAAATGTTAGACTATACTAGATTCCCAATCCCACACAATGATCTTTGAGCTAAGCTACGATAATATCTGAGAGTTGCAAACTATGATTCCTATTTTCGAATATATAGTATACCCATATAATATAATATGTAATGCATATTAACATATTATGTATCATACAAATACTATAGTTTTTTGATTAATTGGGTAAAATTACATGGACTGTAAAATATTCAATATTTATATATTAAATATTAAAATAAATTGTTTTTCTAAAAGTAATACTAAAAAAAATATTTTAAAAAGTTTATTATCTTACAAATGTATGCTGCCTCAAATCAAAAACATATATCATATATTATTATCGAATACGCATTACAACACATCAAGTATATGTTAAAACGGTCGTCTAAACGGGAAATCAAACTATGAGATCCTTGAATTGGTGTGGGTCAAGAAACAATACATAAAGAAAGATTCATTAATTAAAATCCAAGCCATATTTGATTTCTCTATTATCTAAATATTTCTAATATTTATAATGAATTGCAAAAAAAATCTTTTATTCAATTCAGTTTGGTTGACATATTTCAATATAATAAATTTGATTGATTGCCATTGTGGAGCTTGTGATTATTCCCAACATCAAAACTATCCTGTATGGAGACGTGAGAAGCAAAGCAGGAACTTATCGCCATATATATGATATGCGGAAAGAATTTTATATAACAGTCGTCGCTATCGATCGCGGTAGCTCATCCATCGGAATGCAGCATTGGGTCTCCTAAATATAATAATACCGTCCGACTGTCCGTCCGTCCGTCCGTATGTATGAATGCGTCGATCTCAGAAGATATACGAGCTAGAGATTTGAAATTTTTTCCTAGGTCCGCAAAAATCGATAATACTCCCGGTATTTTGTTATCGATCAAAAACCTTATCAAACTAAATTTATTTAATAATATCTCCTACACCTTTAGAGCTAAAGTGTCAAAATTTTAAATGTTTATTTATATATATTTCAAGCATTTTGATTTTTGTTATAAATTACCCCCCACCATAATATCCCCTCACTACGCGATAAAAGGATTACTTAAATACTAGAGACTTGTGCTTTGTCAAATGCATGCATTTTACTAATATAATAAAAATCTAAAAGTTTCATGAAGCAAGTTTATGCACAAGAAAAGTTATTATATTCCCATAGTATGCCCACACTGCAGCCAACGCATGCGTGCCTATGTGTGTTTGTGGTTGTGTTTGTGAGTATGTTTCAAATGTAAGCTGAAAAACGCGACAAATTATTGAAATATCAGTTTCTTCTAAGGGTTCAGGGGACCTTGTAGTCGAGCAGACTCGACAAGAGCTTTCTTGCTTCTTTTTATTTGAATCAGTTACATTTTTCAAATCGAGAATTTAACTTAAAAGCCTTTAAGAATGATAGCATGACCCTTATGGAAGGAATCCATAATCAATGCAATCAACTGAATAAGTCCATGGCTGACTCCCTTTCAGAATGAAAATTGAAAACACCAAATAACTAGCTCAAAACTAAAACTTTCAATTCGTTGTCTGCAGTGCAGCTATTTTAATATATACTCTTTAATTTAGAGAATTTATCTCTCAGTTATTTACGAAATTTTTATATTTGAATAAAATATTTCTTAAACATTCTATAAAGATTTCTGTCAAAATAATTTTCACCAAATTTCGCAATTCATTTTTTGGGCAACTTTTTCGCGTGTATTTTAGGATAATTGCACACAAACTGAATTGATTTGCTTTGTGGGATGTGCACATATAATCTAAATTATTGACATCATTCAATCGAAAATCCCTCAAATAGTATGCCAGGCATCCATTGCACTTACCGTTGGCTGTGCATGGACTTGACGTAATCCTCGCTGGTATAAATCCCTGCCGAGTGCTGCGGACTGCTTGTGTGACGTGTCGAGGCCGTCGCTGTTGGATTTACAGGGTATCTGTTATTGTCATATGCACTTGCATTGGCATTGGCATTGGCATTAGCATTAGCATTGGCACTGGCACTGCCATTTGATAAGGTATTTGATACGGCGGATATGGAGCTGGCGCTTGCATTGCTCCTGGCACTTTTCACTGAATATTTGTTGCACTTTTGATTGCCATTGTTGTTGTTGTTGTTGCTGTTGTTGTTGTTCAAGTTTTGAAATAATATGTGTTCGATGGAAAATGGCGTTTTTGTGGTTAGCATTGTGGTCGTTGTGGCAGAGCACTTGCTTGTGGCAACAGTTGCAGCTGTAGCAGAAGCAGAAGCAGCAGCAGCTGCCGCTGCCGCAGTTGCAGTTGCAGTTGCTGTTGCCGTCGCCGTTGCAACTGGGCTGAGGCTGTTCTCATTTAGCGCTGACATCATGTCCTGCTCCTGCTCGAGTCCTGGCCGTCGCGCTTATGTTGTTTGCTCGTTGACGGTCGCGTTGAGTTTGCGGCAATCACCGCACATCAACCAGCAAATCGCTATAAGCGATGTCCCGGTTTCAGCCACGGCACAGCAGCCCACCCCAAAAGCAGGCAATGCACTTGCGGTTCGCTGCTCAGGCACCCAAAAATACACACGCACACCCACACACACAGGCAGGCAGCGTTTCGCTGTATGTGTGAACACACCCCCATTTGCATGTGTAGCTTATATGGTTGTCTCTCTCTCGCACAGCAACGGCATTACGGCCGAATGCAATTTAGCCATTTGCACCGCTTGATTTCGGCCCCACAATGCTGGCATTTTATCTATACAGATATATATGTTTATACATTTAAAATGTATATGTATATATATACCTATATGTATATGTATATAAGTATTTATAAAATCGTCATATTTGTTGATTGCGCACAGCCAAAAATGACTTGGTTTACATTTCGTTATGTCATTTATGTGATACAAATTAGTTCATTTTTTAAATTTTGGAAATATCAAATTTGTATATATAAAGGTTTTTTAAATCTCTTTATCTCAGAAAATTAAAAATGATTTACCAAATCCTCTAAATAAAATTCCATTCAACAATTTTTATACCCTGAACCCATTGAAAATGGGAAATCAGGGTATAATGGTTTTGTGAAAAGTATGTAACAGGCAGAAGGAATCATCGCAGACCCCATAAAGTATATATATTCTTGATCAGGAAGACGAGCTAAGTCGATATAGCCCTGTCCGTCTGTTCGTCCGTCCGTCCGTATGAGCAAAAGGATCTCAGAGATAAGAGCTAGAGAGCTGAAATTTGGCATGCATACTCGTGTATACCATAGGCAGTACGAGTTTGCTTTATTTTTTCGATAACTCATCCGATAACTTTTTATCGAGAATAATCGAAAAATCGACTTTGTTTTTTTAGGCTAATTTGAACAATTTTGGACCTGGAGACTTCAAATTTCCGTTGTATATAAAGTTAATGGATACAAAGATTTTGTAATTTACAGATTTTGGATACCACGCCCCATTCGCCCCCAATTTGTAAAAAACGCATTTCATATTTGACCAATTCCAATTATTTTTATTAAGATTATTTATATTATTATTATTTTGTTTTTCCGTGTGCCTATAGTAGTTACTAAGTTTAATTGGTTCATGTTAACCGCAAATAACTTGATCGCAGTTGTGGTTGGCGCTGACGCTGATGCTGACGGCGACGACGACTGCGACTGCGACTGCGACTGCGACTGCTGCCGCCATTTTGCCCCCATAATTAACGTGTCATGGCCGCCATTGTGTTGTGCATGCATTAAATACATTAAATGCCACAATCATTGTAATTAAATTATTGACTGATGGCTGCCTAGAAAGACAGACAGGCAGTTGGATGGCGCGGGCGGACGTACAGGCAGAGCTTTTGTGTGGGTGGCGGTGCGTATGCGTAATGTGGGCCACAGCTGTGCATGCATGCACAACTGTACCACCATCATCCACTTGTATCTGTCTAACGTACCCATAATACGCATTAGCCTCAGCTGGCAGCTATACCTGCCTCCCTCTCACTCTCGCTGGCTGCCCCTCTCCCACTCCCACTCGCCGAACGACTGTCTCTAAGCTCTGGCAATTAGGCAAAAGACGTAAAGGAAAAACTTGGCCGTAATTCGATCGTTTGGCATAGCTTTACGCAGCCCAACTCAGCCCGTCCTGACAGGCAGCCCATCAGCCGGCCAGCTCGCAGGGGGTGTGTCCTGGCATTCTGCTGCAACCAATCAGCGCGCTCTGAGCTTTGGGGTTGCCGTAGCGAGCAGCTATTTGTCCTTGTCGCACGCACAGCCAGCAGATGCCAACGGAAAGCTAGCTAGCTAAGACTTGGGTAGGGGAAGGGGACCGCGAGCTAGCAAAGGATACTCTCTGTGTATATTGGCGTGTGTAGTTGTGTGTGTGTGCCTGAAGAGATGGCTGCGACCAAAAAGCAAGACAAATTTGCTCGTTTTATTAATAAAATAAGTCACGCAAAGTAAGTCGAACATCATTATTAGGTTAAAGCCCTAAAGCGGGCGCATTAGATGTACACACACACCCACACACAGATACACACTCATTTAAGTGTGTGTGTGTGTGTGTGTGTGTGTGTAAATATATATGGAGTAGGGTCTGTGCAGCTACACTGACAGCGAGAAGGTGAAACAATGCAAATGTTCTTTAAGAACGACTTTATTGAAATAGAGATATCAGATCAAATTAGAAATAAATATTTGGATGATTTTCGCTGATTCATTAACAGCTGCTTCTGACTTGATTGAATCTAAATTTTGTTAAAATTGCGTGGTATGAAAATGGGCTTAGCAAAATAAAAATTGACAAGTATTAACAATTAATACAAAATAAAATTATATTTAAAAAAGAAAAACAAAACAAAACAAGTAAGAAAGCTCTAGTCGAGACTGCTCGACTACGAGATCCCCTGAACCCTTGGAGCAATAGATATTTCAATACTTTTTCGCGACTTTCAGCTTACACAAGAAACACGCACACACACACACACACACGCACGTACGCAAACACAGGCATACATACACACACACGCATACATACACAAACGCATACACACACACACATACACACACACATACACAAACACATACACAAACACATACACACACAAGCAACCACGCATAAACACGCATGGGCTGCAGTGTGCGCTTACTATGAGAACTTAATTGTTTAATAACTTTTTTTATGGACGTACGATCTTCATGAAACTTTTAGATTATGATTATAACATGAATATGCATGTAATTGCCAAAGCACAAGTCTCTAGTATTTGAAATACGCTTTTTACAAAAGTGAGGGTGAGGGGGTGAATTTAGAGGTGGGGGGTAAATTTTAACAAAAACCGAAATTGTATAAATTGCATATAAGCATACATTAAAAATTTGGAGACTCTAGCAATAAAGGTGTAGAAGATATAATTTTATAACTGGGTTTCGATAAGGTTTTTTATCGATAAAAAAGATCGAGATGAGTTATCGATTTTTAATGATAAACTTGATATGCGCGCTGTAATTACGGACATTTAAAAAAAAATTGAAGTCTCTAGCTCTTATATCTTCTGAAATCGACGCGTTCATACATACGGACAGACGGACAGACGGACGGACGGACAGACGGACAGACGGACAGACGGACAGACGGACAGACAGACGGACAGGGCCAAATCAACTCAGCTCGTCGCCCTGATCAAGAATATATATACTTTGTGGGGTCTGCCACGCCTCCTTCTCCCTGTTACATACATTTCAACAAAACCATTATACCCTGATTTCCCATTGAAAATGGGTTCAGGGTATAAAAAACAAAAAAAACTTAATAAAAATCACTAAATTAATTAAATTCGTTTTTAAATCACTCATCAGATTTCTTTCAGTGTAAATGTAACATGCAATTAAGTCGCTTTAGCTGGCATTATTTCTGAGGTATAGGTAGCTTCAACTGCGATTGCAAATGGGGCTGGGCGTGGCTGGGCCGTAAGCTGTCTGCTGCCGAGGTCCTTAGTAACTGACACAAGCTGATTGTTGCGAGCACTTAAACTGCGCCCCGGAACTGACAACTTCAGCGGGTCGGAGCCATTGTTTTCTTTTATTGTTTTTTCTTCATTTGACATGAACGTGCGGAAGAGCCCCAAGCATGTGCTAAATATATAGAGTGAGTGGGACAGAAATAGAAATAAAGCGAGAGCTATTATTATACCCTGAACCCATTTTCAATGGGAAATCAGGGTATAATGGTTTTGTTGAAATGTATGTAACAGGGAGAAGGAGGCGTGGCAGACCCCACAAAGTATATATATTCTTGATCAGGGTGACGAGCTGAGTTGATTTGGCCCTGTCCGTCTGTCTGTCCGTCTGTCCGTCTGTCCGTCCGTCCGTCTGTCCGTCTGTCCGTATGTATGAACGCGTCGATTTCAGAAGATATAAGAGCTAGAGACTTCAAATTTTTTTAAAATGTTCGTAATTACAGCGCGCATATCAAGTTTATCATTAAAAATCGATAACTCATCCCGATCTTTTTTTATCGATAAAAACCTTATCGAAAACCAGTTATAAAATTATATCTTCTACACCTTTATTGCTAGAGTCTCCAAATTTTTAATGTATGCTTATATGCAATTTATACAATTTCGGTTTTTGTTAAAATTTACCCCCCACCTCTAAATTCACCCCCCACCCTCACTTTTGTAAAAAGCGTATTTCAAATACTAGAGACTTGTGCTTTGGCAATTACATGCATATTCATGTTATAATCATAATCTAAAAGTTTCATGAAGATCGTACGTCCATAAAAAAAGTTATTAAACAATTAAGTTCTCATAGTAAGCGCACACTGCCGCCCATGCGTGTTTATGCGTGGTTGCTTGTGTGTGTATGTGTTGGTGTATGTGTGTGTGTATGTGTGTGTGTGTGTGTATGCGTTTGTATATGTATGCGTGTGTGTGTGTATGTGTGTCTGTATGCGTGTGTGTGTATGTATGCCTGTGTTTGCGTACGTGCGTGTGTGTGTGTATGTGTGCGTGTTTCATGTGTAAGCTGAAAGTCGCGAAAAAGTATTGAAATATCTATTGCTCCAAGGGTTCAGGGGATCTCGTAGTCGAGCAGTCTCGACTAGAGCTTTCTTACTTGTTATTAATGAAATGGCGGTGTGGGAACATTTTACTTAACTTCATTTGAATCGATGGGCGATGCACGTGCCCATCAGACGTGCTAAGCCTAATTTTTATAATAATAAAAATCTGGCATCGAATTGCAAATGCGTCTTGCGGTTAACAGCGAGGGAAGGAGATAGTGAGAGAGAGGGAGAGACGGGGTGCTGCTCTTTCCACGGGCAATTACAACATTTTGTGTCAGTTTGCATGGCAAATCCTTTTGTGATGCGACGTCTTCTCATTGTTTTTTTTAGCATAATTCCCTGAAATCAAGGTTGGAGTGTGTCAAAGATCAGGTTACGAGCGGCGGCCTTCTCAGATGCCGCTCGG